AAATAAATAAATAAATAAATAATAATGTTGTTGCTGCTTCTGTTAAATGGTTTAGATACAAAAACTATTGCCTGCCCATTGGAAATTTACCAGAGAGCTATTCATCACTGTACCTTTTTCACACCCATGGTCTATTCCTTTGTTCATTTGGGCTTCTTGCATTTGATTACTATGTAGAATTCACATTTGGTACTACATTTTGGTGTTTTGTCTCTCTACCTTCTCTACCGCCCGCCATCTGTCCTAGGCTGCAGCCATGGCCACTTCAGCAGGGACCGTCTCTGAAGATGCCATAGAAGAAGAAGGTGGTGGAAGAATGTCGCAGAGCTCCTCTGAGGTCTCCAAGCTCAGCTCTAAAAGTGCCAAAGAGCGGCGGAACAGGAGGAAGAAGCGGAAGCAGAAGGAGCTGTCAGAAGGAGAAGAGAAAGGGGATGCTGAGAAAGTCTTTAAGTCAGAATCAGAAGATGGCATGAGAAGGAAGGTCTTCCGCTTGCCAGACAACAGGTTAGGGCGGAAACTTTCCATCATGAACCAGGTAATGTTTTCAGCCTAGATGGTTGAAATTTACATCTCAAAACTGTGCATTGGGCAGGGGTGTTAGAAAAAAAAGAGATGAGTGGGCTAGATTCTCTTTCCAACTTTCCAGATAGCTATATTATGCTTTTTTTCTATGATCTCCTGAATGCACAAATATATCAGAATCTGGCATGATACGGCTTAGCTTCTTCGGTGACATGAGCTCATCTTTCAGCCTGTCTGCCTACTCGTTTGAAAGGAAAGTAGCTGCAACCTGTACCGTGATAGAAAGATGCAATTCAAAATGTCATGCTGTAACTTCTGTTCCAAACAGACAGGTTTTCCATACAGTGGAACAGAAATGATGCAATGTTCTGTTTCACGCTCCTACTTAATCCCAGCACCTGCTTTCATCTCCCCAAAGTACAGAAATTAGTATAAATCGTTTTAGCTTCCTTTTCACAGACTTTGATTGAAAATGACCAAATGTGTGCATTCAGGATTTTTTTTAGTCCAAGCCCATTGAATTCCATCTTTGCATTGCCCCACTCATTTTTCCCTTTACATACTGAAATGCAACAAGGTTTTCACAATTACTTGATTAACTAGTCGGTGCTTCAGAAGGATGCATCTCTCCTCATAAGGAAAGATTTTCAGAGTAATTCCTTCATAGAGCAATCAATCCGTGCTTTAATGAGTCAAATACGACCCAAAGAGAATATACAAGTTTTCTCCTAATGACATGTATAAGTACGGAGATATAGATAGATAGATAGATAGATAGATAGATAGATAGATAGATAGATATAGTGTGTGTGTGAGAGAGAGAGAGGTATACTATATATAAAAAAATATTCTTTCCCTCCTGCCAGCAGACAAGGAATGATCCTTATAAAATCAGGAAGGAGGAACTTAGTCGCATCAGGGCATAGATGGAGAGTTGGATGTAATGCTGTAGGAAACTTCAACCTTTAAGGCTAGATCTATACTTCCATATAATGTAGCTTCAGAATGCAGATTGACTGCATTGAACTGGATTATATGGCAGTGTAAACTCATATGATCCAGTTCAGTGCAGTTAATCTGCATTCTGAAGCTGCATTATATGGCAGTGTAGATCCAACCTAAGTCTGTGTTTGTGCCCTGTAATCTGATTCTGATTTTGCTGCTGGCTTTTTTTATAGTTGCAGAGAATGACAAATCTGTCTGTCGTGCGTTTTCTTTCTTAAATGTGATAACTCCAAGAGTGAGAGAGACTGTGAATTTCATATACTAGCTTCCCAGTTTGTATTAGTGCATATGTGCTTGTTTTCTTGAAAAATTCACAGGGAGAGAGAGTTTTGTTTTGTTTATCCAATTAGACTGAAAATTCCCTGTTGTTACCACTTGTAGTGTTTGCTCTTTAGCATTTTTTTGCTTTACGCTGTTTCAGTTCCACCTTCTTGCTTTATTTCTCTTCTAGTCACTGCTTAGCATACCAGGATCACCGTACCTCTCCCGCCACAACAGTAAAAGCAGCATCTTCAGTTTCAAGAGAGGTTTCCGCGACCCGGGTTCAGAGAATGAATTTGCCGATGATGAGCACAGCACCGTGGAAGAGAGCGAAGGCAGGAGGGATTCCCTTTTCATCCCGATTCGGGGCCATGACCGGAAAAGCAGCTACAGCGGTTACAGTGGCTACAGCCAGGGAAGTCGGTCGTCGCGCATCTTCCCCAGCATCCGCCGGAACGTGAAGCGGAACAGCACCGTGGACTGCAATGGCGTGGTCTCCCTGATTGGCGGCCCAACCTCCAACCTCCCCAGTGGACGCCTTCTGCCTGAGGTGAAAATAGATAAGGCAGCTACTGATGACAGCGTAAGGAAGTCAATGAGTAGATAGTCTAGGCATGGCAGTCTGTCCTCCTTTCTGCTTTCCTGTATGCTGCCAAGTGGATCCCAAGTGATGGAATGAAAAGTGGTTTGTCTACCTACAGATGTTGAAGCCTGAACCCTGTTCCCCAATTGCTATGCTTTAAATCTTATACCCATCCTTTCTTCAATTAACCAACTCACAGTCTTCCTTCTTTCACTCCTCTCTTCTGGCACCCAAGGGGAAAATGGCTTGGAACTTCTTTTTGAAAGGGAAAGAATAATGTTGAATGTGCTGTTTGCTAAATTAAATCCTCAAATGATTCACATTATTTAGAGGATCATCTGAATGTGAATGGGATTCACTATACATTTCTTAATCCCACCAGTACAAGTAGGATTAATTCCGTATAAATCCTCTTTGGTAGAGTAATATCTCTCATCTTTTTTTATTTAAGAAGCTCCAGGAAACTTGATCAATTTTGTGTAAAATGAAGCTCTGTAAAGAAATGAATCATTTAAGAATTTTTAGGAGTGTAAGAAAAAGATGTTCTACTTGTAGTAATGGCCATCTTGTGACTAGACTATATATATGACTTTGGACTGCAAGTCTCATATGACTGACACCAAGTGGTGCTATCCCATGATGGCTCAGCCCAACAAAAAACATCCCCTCACTTCTGCATATAATATTTAAAGTTATGGAAATTTGTTAGGATCTTTTTTCCCTGGAGAAAACTCATTTTTACAGAGGGGATATTCATTATAGAGATAATGCTAATTATCACACTATACAAGCTGTCATTATTAATATGTCATGGCGTATTAGAAAAAAAATAGTACTTTTTAAAATGTGAGGCAGTCATGCCGACCACATGACCTTGGAGGTGTCTATGGACAACGCCGGCTCTTTGGCTTAGAAATGGAGATGATCACCACACCTCCGAATCGGACACAACTGGACTTAATGTCAGGGGAAAACCTTTACCTTCACCTAAAGTGTGAGGCAATAGGAAAAGAGGATAACCACATTGCTGGTGGATAGACTCAATACCTGCTCCTGTCTGTTCAGGAGAAGGTGGCATTGAAGTCTCTCACTCATGGGGTAGTTATAAGTCAAAGCTGGCTTGGTGTAAAAGAACAAGATGTGGAATCTGGAAACACACATAGTTCCTTTGACCGTCCTTGGGCACATCTTGACATGCCTTTTACCCCATAGGGAAACCGAATCAGCTCTGTTGCTTCTACATGAGGTGCCACAGTCCATACAAATATTTATTATTTTATTGTGGACTGAAGACACAGTAAAGAGACAGAAGCACCCCAGACACTAAACCATTACTCTTAAACTGTATGCACTTGCCCTTTCTCTGAACAAAGTACATTTTCCCAAAGTGACCATCTTGAACAGCATTGTTGGCTAAAATACACAAGGAAAAAAGTTCCAAGCTTTTTCTCCCTTTAAAAAAAAACCCCAAACAACCCTCTCTGACATCTTTATTACTGCAAACTAAATTAAACTGTATCTCGGCCCCTTTCTTTTCTTCAAGAATGTTTGAACCCTCCCCTAGTTACTTTCAGCTTTGATTACTACCACTTTTTCCAGTTAGCATGTAAGTATACTCTCTCAGTTTAGTCCTCTAACAGCATGAAGATGTTATGGATTTATTAAGAATATGGCATGATGACTGCACGAAAGATAACCCACACTATATCTCTGCATTATGTGATATCAGTTACCTAAAAGTTATTTCGGCAATGATGGCAGCAATCTAGTTTTATCTATCTTATCTCAGAGAAGACATAACCTGTGCAGTTTATACACTAAATTAGTTTTTTTCTTAAATATCTATATGCTCAGGTTAAAATACAGTCCTTTTTGCTTGAAACAGAAAGCATTTGGAGTGCCATAACTTTGCCTATTTCTACTTACAAAGAAGCATGGGTGCAAACAAGCCCTATGAGTAGCAGCTTAAAGAGCTGATCATGTTTACCCTGAAGAAGAGAAGACTAAGAGGAGACATGATGTGAGCCATGTATAAATATGCGAGGGGAAGTCATAGGGAGGAGGGAGCAGGCTTGTTTTCTGCTTCCTTGGAGACTAGGATGTGGAACAATGGCTTCAAACTACAAGAAAGGAGATTCCTCCTGAACATGAGGAAGAAATTCCTGACTGAGAACTGTTCAGCAGTGGAACTCTCTGCCTCGAAGTGTGGTGGAGAGTCCTTCTTTGGAGGCTCTTAAACAGAGGCTGGATGGCCATCTGTCAGGGGTGCTTTGAATGCGATTTTCCTGCTTCTTGGAAGGAGGTTGGACTGGATGGCCCACGAGGTCTCTTCCAACTCTATGATTCTTTGACTCTAAAGTAGCTTATCATTGTCTACCAGTCAATAGTAAATCTTACTGGGGGGGGAACAGTTTTAAACACATGCCATTAAATGATAAGCTGGTGCTATTTAGAGTCACAATATATGTACACAAGATAGATTCTATCAATGTTGTGTAGTTGTTTTGTTCTTTTAAAGATTCTGAACTTCCCCATGGATAGTTTTCCCAGTCTCCCCTTAAGTGCTTTTAACTCCAGTGCAATTTAAAAAGAGATAGGGAACCACATTTTTGAGTAAAACAAAATATTAAAAAATAAGAAAAGAGTTACACAGTCCCTCTCGCCTCACTCTCTTGTGCTCCAAACAAATTCACAAGTGACTAACTTAAATAACCAAGATGATAATTCTGAGAGCGTTTCACATACAACCTCAATGCAATTTGGTCTTCAGGGAAATGTCGTGGCCCCATTTATGGATTTGTTTTTATTTGTTCATTTACCTCTTCATTCTAAAACTGCTGAGCTCATACACGGTTAAAATCATAGACACCGTGATTTTAAAAACACAACCATTACAGATCCACTCGAAAAGCTGGGTGGTCAAGTCAGTCTCCAATTGATATAGAAAGCTTATAAGATTCAGCACCAATGTTATTTGAGTGGTTGAAATTGAATTCCACTTAGATCTTTTAAATTCCACTTAGGCTTTTAAGCAGAGGCTGGATGGCCATCTGTCGGGGGTGCTTTGAATGCGACTTTCCTGCTTCTTGGCAGGAGATTGGCCTGGATGGCCCACGAGGTCTCTTCCAACTCTATGATTCTATACAAGCCCTAATGATGTTTCTATCTCTAAAAAGGGGAGGCGAAGTAGCTGCCACCATGCTAATTAAGTGATTGATAACAATTTGTAACATAGAAGAGTTCATAGTAAATCATTTCTGTTGAAATTAATAGGACATAATGAGGTAATTGAAAGACTTAAAATAGCTAGCAAATACTTTAACTGAGTTTAAGTTGCAGATCCCAAAACTGCTGTATCTGAAAATACGTGTCTATATGGATGTACCTGAACAAGAAAAGCAGTGATTCACTGCATAAACTACATATAACTAAACTACTGACTCAGGGACTTCAGGTGAGATAAATGCATTGAATTGGAACTGACAAAGGGCTCTATAGAATCTCTCTATCAAGAATATGAAGCCATGTTCAGGAATCTTTTGACATAGGTATGAAAAATAAATTCTGCCTTTGTTTTGAGAATGAAAGCCTTTTGCATTTCCCTCTGCAGACATTTAAGAAACCGTACTAACAGGATGTTATGGATTTTTTAGGGAACTACTGAGGTAGAGATTAAAAAGAAAGCTACTGGGTCACTATTGGTGTCAATGGACCAACTAAATGCCTCCTATGGAAGGAAGGACCGAACCAACAGTATAATGACAGTCATAACAAATACCCTTGTAGAAGGTAGGTTCAATTTTTAGCAACATGTTTTCCTGTTCCCACTAGCAAGGAAGATCTCCACTTTAGAAGTTTGTATTGTCCTTTGTTTTTTGTCATACAGTAGAGTCTCACTTATCCAATATAAACGGGCCAGCAGAACGTTGGATAAGCAAAAATATTGAATAATAAGGAGGGATTAAGGAAAAGCCTATTAAATGTCAAATTACATTATGATTTTACAAATTAAGCACCAAAACATCATGTTTTACAACAAATCGACAGAAAAAGCAGTTCAATACATGGTAACGTTATGTAGTAATTACTGCATTTATGAATTTAGCACCAAAACATCGCAGTGTATTGAAACAGTTGTGGATCCGGGCGGGAGGCAAACTGCATTGGCTAATACAGAACGTTGGATGAGTGAAGGTTGGATAAGCGAGACTCTGCTGTATTTCCTTTCCATGGCACAATGAAAAGACATTTTTGATTAGGCAGTCTTCACTTTTGTTTTGTTTTAACAAAGTGTACTATACTTTATCCTTTAAACCTGTATTAAAATGATTTTTAAATATTTTAATGTGATTGTGTATTTGATTGGATCATTTTACTAGGCTTTAGATGCCTTTTGTTTTTACTTACATTGTAAGCTGTCTTGAGTCACATATTGGGAGAACAGCAATAAATACGTCTCATAAATGAAAATACACACACACACACACCAATAATCTATTAAACAAATGGGAGGCAACCAAACTCATTAGTATGGAGTGAGGTGCTGGGACCATGACAATCACTGTACAGTGATAGACACTTTACAGTATCTAGATCTTAATATTTCAAAAATGAGAATTGTTTATTCCCAAATCCTCTTGATTCTGCTCAATGCTCCTTCCTTGAAGGAACAGTGGGGTAAAGATGTGTGTGTGTATGTGTTTGTGTGTGCATGTGTGTGTATATGTGTGTGTGTGTCTGTGTCTGTGTGTATGTGTGTTTGTGTGTGTGTGTGTGTGTGTGTGTGTGTGTGTATATATATATATATATATATATATCACAATAAATAAATAGTGTCTTATCAATTTCATCCCATCCCCTGAATATGATTTTTATTTATTTATCTATATCTATATTTTTACTATATTTATATCCCACTTTTCTCTACCCTGAAGGGGACTCAAGGTGACTTACAGCTTGGGCAATAATTCAATGCCTTAACAATATACAATTAAAATAAACATTTGAATTAATATTAACTTGTTCTCCCCCTGCTTATTGTTAACATCATTGAATATATTTTATTTCCTTTTTTTAAAAAAAAACATGATTTTCACAGTGTTTCAAATGGGGCAGACTATACAGTTCAGGCATGAGCAAACTTTGGCCCTCCAGCTTAAGCAGCTGAGGAGGGAAAAGAAAGGGCCTGAAGCCAGGAGTTGTCGCAGTCCAAAACACCTGGAGGGTCGAAGTTTGCCCATGACTGGTTTAGTCTATCATTTGAGGATTATATAAACCTAGCATTTCAGTATTGTAGCTCTGTTTTTTTTTAATTAATACAACAAAAATGTCACATTTTCCTATTTTGTTGTGTTGCTGTAGAACTGGAGGAATCTCAAAGAAAATGTCCCCCTTGCTGGTACAAATTTGCCAACGTTGTCCTCATTTGGGAATGCCACCCATACTGGCTAAAGTTGAAAGAGATTGTCAACTTGATCGTCATGGACCCCTTTGTGGATTTAGCCATCACCATATGTATTGTTCTGAATACTCTGTTCATGGCCATGGAACACCATCCCATGACTCCAACGTTTGAACATGTCTTGGCCGTAGGAAATCTGGTAAGCAGAATGCGCTTTAAAAGTTTCTCAGCAACAATTGGACTTCAAATGTCAAGATCAACAAATGTCAAGACCAACATATTATATTGCTGAGCAACTCATCATTATTTCGTTTATCTTATTGAAACTATTATTTGAGCAATGAAGATGTTATGGATTTATTAAGTATATGGTATGATGACTGCTAGCATTTTATTGAATGCTAGAGGTGATGCCTAATGCTTTCTGTAAGTATCAAAAATGTTATAGGGCTGAAGGGAGCATTACGTCTTGTTTTGAAGTACTGAGGGTACATCTACACTGGAGAATTAATACAGTTTGATTCCACTTTAACTATCATGACTCAGCGCTGTGGAACCATGGGACCTGTAGTTTTAGCCTTCTCTGTGAGATTGCTGGTGCCTCACCAAACTAAAACTCCCAAGATTCAGTAGCTTTGAGCCATGGCAGTTAAAGTGGCGTCAAACTGCATTAATTCTATGGTGTAGAGAGGTGCTTGTTGATGGAATTCAGTGAAAAGTAAAGCAGATATTTCAGGGAGGGGAAAACTGTAAGAAAAATCATACCTCTTCTTCACTTAAACTTCTGATGCAACATGACTTGTTTTTCTGCTACCTCACCCTCCCTTTGAAAATGGATATATGAATCTGAATTAAAGGAGAAAATGGAGCAGTCTGTTGCTTTTTTCTTTATAGGTTTTCACTGGAATATTTGCAGCGGAAATGTTTCTGAAGCTCATAGCAATGGATCCCTACTATTATTTCCAAGAAGGATGGAACATTTTTGATGGATTTATTGTCTCTCTCAGTTTACTGGAACTCATGCTAGCAGATGTGGAAGGGCTTTCAGTGCTGCGATCCTTCCGACTGGTATTCTTCTTTTCCTCATTGCCTGTTACAGTTTTCAGTTTTGCAACGGCTGTGAAATCCTCTGTAAAAAAATATGGGAATATATATTATGTCTTATAATTACTGGAGGAATTATTACTCTATACTGGTGATCAGCATTTTTTTTTTGTTTTCAAAAGTTGGTTCCTGATCCATTCCATTGATACTGTCCCAGATTATCTCAGAATATCAGATCCCATATTCTGAAGCCTAGTTCTTTGTTAATGCCATCAGAATAAGTCAAGTTCCCTCCAGAACCTCCAGTAAAGAACTTTGCTCAGTTTTCTGGAAGGAACATCATTGAAGGGCTTTTTGAGCCAAGAGGGTCTTCCATCATATTTCATATTTCTTGTGGCAGGGATGCAGTTTTTTGTCATTTCATATCACTTCTTATTCAGTTCCAGAGGTTCTCCTGATTTTCTGCGCACCTTTATTTAGACCAGACTTTCTCAATGTAGCTTGTAGAAAAAGATAATTCCAATAAAATATATTTATTAAAATAAATTCAGAATCAACACATATTTGTGTGAAATTAATTTTAATAGTTAACAAGCAGCAGTGTCAAACTAAAAGCTTGTAACTAATGGTAATATAGTCTTTTTATATAAAAATAATTATTCTGGAATTGTGACTTGTAGAGGTGCCACACGTGGCTTACCAGTTATGGAACTTACTTTCCTTATAATATATTTCCATATTTTTGTCTTTCATTTGTTTTCTGCCAGTAGGTATGTCATATTGTTTGAATTGTATATCAACATATATGTGTAATTCACTGTTTGGGATACTTGTTATTTTGGATGTATTTTATGCAGATTGCTAGTTAACCTGCCTTTCTATGAGAAAGAAAGAGTTGTAAACTCAAATAACAATTGCAGTAGTAGCAGTAGTACACTATATAGTAGCCCATATCTGCAGGGGACACAGTCCTGGACTTCATTTCTGCGCATACAACTATGGATAATAGTGAATCCTGTTGTTTTCAATGGGATGAATGATGGAGGTACCAAGAAAAGAGTGTAACTTTTTGAGGAGGCCCTAAGTGGATAACTGAAATTTTAGATAAATGAAATTACTGTATGTATGTCAGTTCCACGGATACATGGATTGTATAGCTGTAGTAATAACAACAGCAACAACATAAAGCAGTAATACTAATCTTTTCTTCCTTTATTTTTCTTTTACACCATCATCAAGTTGAGAGTCTTCAAGCTGGCAAAATCCTGGCCAACTCTTAACATGTTGATTAAAATCATTGGTAACTCGGTGGGTGCCTTGGGGAACCTGACTTTGGTGCTGGCCATCATCGTCTTCATTTTTGCTGTGGTGGGGATGCAGCTTTTTGGCAAGAGCTACAAGGAGTGTGTCTGCAAGATCAACCCGGACTGTGAGCTTCCTCGATGGCACATGAACGACTTCTTCCACTCTTTCCTTATTGTCTTCCGTGTTCTCTGTGGAGAATGGATTGAAACCATGTGGGACTGTATGGAAGTAGCTGGACAGGCAATGTGCCTTATTGTCTTTATGATGGTGATGGTCATTGGAAATTTAGTGGTCAGTAAAAATTTCTGATTGTTTTTGAGTAGGATATGAACAGATGCTATCTTATAACACAGGGAAAAAGAACTCACTAATTCTGTTGCTTGCTTTTCAGCTAAAGTTGTCTAATTGTTTCAGTGATTTAATTCCAGGTTCTTGTTATGATTATGCACCAGAGGGGAAAAAACCATAACAGTTACTGCACCAATGCAGTGCTATGTCCAGGAACATAAGAATGAGGCCCCATCTACACTGCCATATAATGCAGTATCAGAATGCAAATTAATTGCTTTAAACTGGATTGTATGGCAGTATAGACTTATATAACCCAATTCCATAACCATATAATGCAGTTCAAATTGTACTACTTGGCCATGTAGTTCCAACATAAGTCTGTTGGATCTGGCCAAAAATCTATCTGCTGTATCCAGTGAAATGTTTCAGCAGACTTACTCTATCTCAGTGTTTCTCAACCTGTGTGTCCCCAGATGTTTTGGCCTTCAACTCCCCAAAATCCTAATAGCTGGTAAACGGGCTGGGATTTCTGGGAGTCATAAGCCAAAATACCTGGGGACCCACAGGTTGAGAACCACTTCACTAGCTGGTTTAGGGTTTCTATGTGTATGCTATTTTCAAAGAAAGAGCTTTATTTTATTTGCTACATAGTGTATTTATTTATATACCACCTTTCTATCAGTGAACCCAAGGCAGTTTATTTTATGCCATGCATTTTAATATATGGTATAAAAGGCAAACATATTAAAGAAGGAAGAGCCAAATGAGCACATTTGGTTCCAGTTGTAACATAAAGTGGTGTAGTTGCAATGGTCCATGGGAAGAAAGGACTGATGAGAGGGAGACAGGTCTGAATTGGGAGGGGTGAAATGGCAGGTGATCTGAGCCACCCAGTGGAGTGAATCCACTGTCCCATCCCTCCCTCTGGTGCTACCACCTTTTGGGGGGGGGGGGGATATTATCAATTCACTGTAGAAATGTTGTTAAGAAATAATTGATTTATCCCCTCTTTCTGCTTTTTCAGGTGTTGAACCTGTTCTTGGCCTTGTTGCTGAGCTCTTTCAGTGCAGACAACCTTGCAGCAACTGACGATGATGGGGAGATGAACAACTTGCAGATCTCCGTCATTCGAATCAAGAAAGGCATTGCCTGGGCAAAGATCAAAGTGCATGAACTTGTGCAAACCCATTTCAAAAAGAGGGAGGCGGATGAAGTTAAGCCCCTTGATGAGTTGTATGACAAGAAGATGAACTGCATTGCCAACCACATGGGGGCTGATATCAATCGAGAGATTGATTACCAAAAGAACGGCAATGGCACCACCAGTGGCATTGGGAGTAGTGTGGAGAAATACATCATTGATGAGGATCATATGTCTTTCATCAACAACCCAAACCTCACTGTCCGAGTCCCCATAGCAGTGGGCGAGTCTGACTTTGAGAACCTCAACACAGAAGATTTCAGCAGTGATACCGATCCTGATGGCAGCAAAGAGGTACAAACCTATGCTCCTTCTCAGAGTATATTCCCATTTCATTGTTTCTGGTATTCATACGTAAGGATGACTTCCCTACTACATGCTTCCTAAATGGATAATGCTTCAAGATACAGCACTTTTCCTAGTGCCATTCTCCAGTTGCAAAATGCATATAGAAATGCATGTATTAGGGGAAATTACACATAGAAATATGTATAGGAGAATTACTATGAATTTTATCCTTTTTCATCTACTTTTTTAAAATGTACAAACTGATGTTAGAACTGGTAAAATTGGAACAAACAAGTTGAAAGATTCATCATTCTCAAACCTTATGCATTACGAAGGACGTAGATGTGGGATTGTGGTAGTAAGCAGATTTCAATCTATAGATATAAATCTGTTAGGTTGGTTCACGGGACAGCAAAACTCCACAACCCCCCAACGAAACTGCACCAAAATTCCCATGCCCATAACACAACCCACAAGGTACAAACATATCTACTCAAAATGAAAAACAACACAACAACACACTCACAAAACGGCAAAACAACAAAACTCAACAACCCCCCAACGAAACTTAACCAAAATTCCCATGCCCATAACACAACTCACAAGGTACAAACATATCTACTCAAAATGAAAAACAACACAACAACACACTCACAAAACGGCAAAAAGACAAAACTCAAAAAACCAACGAAACTTAACCAAAATTCCCATGCCCATAACACAACCCACAACGTACAAACATATCTACTCAAAATGAAAAACAACACAACAAACACACTCACAAAACGGCAAAACAACAAAACTCAAAAAACCCAAATGAAACTTAACCAAAATTCCCATGCCCATAACACAACCCACAAGGTACAAACATATCTACTCAAAATGAAAAACAACACAACAACACACTCACAAAAGGCAAAACAACAAAACTCAAAAAACCCCACGAAACTTAACCAAAATTCCCATGCCCATAACACAACCCACAAGGTACAAACATATCTACTCAAAATGAAAAACAACACAACAACACACTCACAATACGGCAAAACAACAAAACTCAAAAAAAACCCAACAAAACTTAACCACACACACACGCACCCCCACTCCCCCCGCCGCCGCACACACACACGCAACCCCACGCTCCATCACTCCCCCCCGCTGCCGCACACACACACGCAACCCCACGCTCCATCACTCCCCCCGCCGCACACACACACACGCAACCCCACTCCCCCTGCCGCCGCACACACACACGCAACCCCACGCTCCATCACTCCCCCCCCCCGCCGCCGCACACACACACACAACCCCACACTCCATCACTCCCCTGCCCCAATCTTACCTCCTTTTACTTCACGCCACCTCCAAACCCCACCCCGCCCCTTCCCGCCCTGTCAAAATCCAGGAAAGACAGGAAGGAAGGAAAGAAGGAAGAAAGAGAAAGGGAGGTAAAGAAAAAGGGGGAAGGAAGGAAAGTTAGAGAAAGAAGGAAGAAGAAAAGGAAAGATGGAAGGAAAGAAAAGAGAGACAGCAGAAGAGAAAGAAAAAGGGGGAAGGAAGGAAAGAGGTAGAGAAGGAAGAAATGAGAGACAGAGGGAGGGAAAGAAAAAGGGGGAAGGAAGGAAGGAGAGAAGGAAAGAAAAAAGGGAATGAAGGAAGGAAAGAGGGAGTGAAGGAAGGGGGAAGATGTAGAGAAAGAGGGAGGGAAGGAAAGAAGGAAAGAGAGAAGGAAGAAAAGAGACCAGAAGAAAAAGGGGGAAGGAAGGAAGGAAGGAAGGAAAGAAGAAAAAAGGGAATGAAGGAAGGAAAGAGGGAGTGAAGGAAGGGGGAAGATGTAGAGAAAGAGGGAGGGAAGGAAAGAAGGAAAGAGAGAAGGAAGAAAAGAGACCAGAAGAGAAAGAAAAAGGGGGAAGGAAGGAGATAGAGAAGGAAGAGGAGAAGGAAAGATGGGAGGGAGGGAAGGAAGGAAGGAGGGAAAGAAGGAGAGAAAGAGGGAAGGTTGGCCACAGCAACACGTGGCGGGTAAAGGTTGTTATTTCTATTATTATTATGCTATTATTCCTATTAGACCCTGGGGGAATGGGAGAGGTGTCAGGTCCCAGAGGCAATGCATTGCATTATTGTTATTGTTATGATGGTGGTGAAATAAAAGAAAATAAAAAGAGAAAGAAGGAAGCAAACAGGGAGGGAAGAAAGGCAAAGGAAGAAAGGGGGAGGGAATGAAGGAAAGAGAGAAGGATGAAACCAAGTAGTGAAAGAAGGAAAGAAAGAAAGAGGTAGAGAAGGAAGAAAGGAGAGAAAGGGGGAGAAAAGGGGGAAGGAATAGGTAGGTACCTCTCTTTCATAATAGTCCAGATATCTACCTCAACTTTGATAAGTTTTACTATAGGCCACAGCAACGCGTGGCAGGGCACAGCTAGTATACAAATAAATTACTTGTTCTTAGTTCTAGTCAAGAAGATGCAAACTCAAGTGATACAACTTGTCATGTATCAATGAACAATTGTTCATAAGCACATAAAGGGGAAAAGATCTTAATCAGTACAGAAGTCTATCAAAACATCTGGGAAATGCTAATCCATGAAATTCTAGCCAAGTCAGCTGTGGTCATATATAACCAGAATTACTAAACATACATAAACCAAATGTCTCCAATAAGTAAGGCATGTAAGCATGGAATGAATGCAATAAACTTTTCCCATCATTTTCCACACCCCATTCATTTGTGGTCACTTCCCATTCACTTGTTGTCTTCGTAGTGGCCCAGTTAAAACCAATAGCAGATTTCAGGAGGACCAGAGTCAGGATTTCCAGTGGATATTGGCACTAAACCACTTTTTAAATTGTTTAAGTTAGTGCCCATTACCCATGGCAGCCATTTCCATCAATTCACATTCTCTCGGGCTTAGTTTCTCTCCCTACTGCAAAACAGTGCCATGCTACCACTCCTACTCCTTCTCAAGGAGCATTTATGAAATGAAATCATATGAAAAGGCTCTTCCAATTGATATCCATATGTACATAGGCAGGGGTATGTTCTATTGAGCTCTACCCTCAATGCCATATGCACAACACACACAACACAGATAGATGTGCTGAACATGCTATTTGATTGAGGAATCTGTGCTCATACAGCTGCACAATCATAGACTTCTCACTTGACTGGAAAGCCAAAACAATTTCATATATCACAGACATCAGAGATGGAGACTCATAGGATATGCTAACATAGTGGATGGGATCACTGGGCATGATTCTACTTTCTTCAGCATGAATTTGATATACATGTGAAAGAGATCATTTGAGGACACCCTGTGATGTTGAATGAGTGATTAGCACACTCCATATACACCGTCAAATAATCCAGTATCTGATTCCAGATTATCTGTTTGAACTATATTAGATGGCAGTGCATACTCCTATAATCCAGTTCAAAGCAGATAACCTGGAATCAGTGTAGATCCAGCCTCACACTAAGATAATGCAGTTAGTTAAAAACATTCAATCTCCCCATCTCAAGCATCTTACATTGAAATTAAATTGCAAAAATTGCAAAAAATAAGTCATTTTAAGAGAATTAGTTATAGCCACTTTTGAATTTCATGTAATAATTGTGGTAATGTTTTCAGCTCCTGCCAAATGTCACCTTTAAAAATAGATTTATTGAGTATTTGTAACTATCATTCAGTTGTTGTTAATAATAATTTTTGAATCTGGAAATCTATTTGGCATACAATTTATTTTTGGTTGTTTGATTATTAAGAAAAACAAATTGTACTAGAGAAGACAGAATTTAAAGTAAGTTTGGGATTTTTCATATATTGATATCTATGCAAGTTGGGGGAAAGTATAGTCCAAAAAAACTAATTTTCCCAGGTTTTACTTATTCAGACTTAGCCATGATGACATATTTGACTGAGCGTTGTAGTCTGTCAGCAACATACAGTACATGTCTCCACAACGACAAAGGAATTAGAAAATGTTTGCCCCTTTTCCATATGTGTTTTTCTTTTGGTGATTCAAAAAGATTAAACTAGGAAAAGTCTCATACTTTTTGTTGCCAAGAGTTCAAATTCAGGATGAAATGAAGTCCTTCTTTTCACCTGGCTTACAGTACAGATTTAACATTTCAGATTCAAAATTCCAAAATCCAAAATGGGCCACGTGGGTGGCTGCAATAGTGGCACCTTTGCTTTCTGATGGTTTAATGTACACAAATGTTGTTCCGTGCACAAAATTGTTAAAAAATATTACGGATAAAATTACCTTCAGGCTATGTATTCTTGGTGTATGTGAAACATATTTGATTTTCACATTTTGGCTTGGGTCCCATCTCTAAGATACCTCTTGATGTACATATATACAAATAGAGGTATTCCAAAATCTGAAAGAAAAGCCAAAATCCTGAACGTGCCTGATGCCAAGAAGGGAAACACAACCTGTATCTATGTATGTAATTGTTGGGGGTGTTTTTTTTACTATTGCTTTCCCAGAAACTGGATGATACTAGTTCATCAGAGGGCAGCACCATTGATATCAAGCCAGAAGCAGAAGAGGTTCCTGTTGAAGCACCAGAAGAGTATCTGGATCCTGATGCGTGTTTCACAGAAGGTGATATAGTCCACATATTGATATTTATGACTTTAGCAGTCTTGGTTCTATGCCGCATTCCTTGTTCCCCCATACTTGAGAATGTGTGAAGCACCTAGGTTTGTTTTCCCCTGTTTGTATAAATGTAAAAATAAATTAAACAATTCTTAAAATAACTACAGCTGAATTTACAGGATTTCGATAAAGAACCTGAAGGGTGTTATTGAATCAAAGGATCCAAACATGGTCATGTAACCTCCAACTGTGGCCAGTATTCCTTTCTTAAAGGATGAACTCCCAACCTATGATGCAGACTCAATAGTGAATAATCAATATATTATCTATAGTTCCAAGCCATGTGGCGGTAAAGCAACATCCTTTATGACTCATGACAATTCAGAAAAAAATTATGTGTACATTACATTGCAACATTTTGACTTTATGTATCCTTTACCTGTTAACCAATGCTACAGTTCTCAGAAAGCTTTTGGTGACTTTGCATTTGCAGGTTGTGTGCAAAAGTTCAAGTGCTGCCAAGTTAGCATCGAAGAAGGGCGTGGCAAACAGTGGTGGAACTTAAGGAAAACCTGCTTCCTGATTGTCGAACATAATTGGTTTGAGACATTCATTATCTTCATGATCTTGCTGAGCAGTGGCGCTTTGGTAAGTAGAGTTAACATTTTATTGGAATTTGCTGGAGAGCCAAACTTAAAAATACAGAAAATGTGTGAAGATGCTTTTTTTAAAGCTAAATAACAGCTGCAGGAGAATCTGTACTGTGACCATGCCATTTATTCTATTCCTTTTGCCATTATACTTTTTAATATATAATAATAACAACAACAACAACAACAACAACAACGTATCATCGATGTTGCAATCCCAGGCGACAGCAGGATTGAATAGAAACAAGTGGAAAAGCTGACACGATACAAGGATTTAAAGATCAAACTGCAAAGACTCTGGCAGAAGCCAGTAAAGATGGTCCCAGTGGTGATCGGCACACTTGGCCTGCACTTAAACACAATTGGCGCTGACAAGATTACCATCTGCCAGCTGCAAAAGGCCACCTTACTGGGATCTGCACGCATTATTCGCCAATACATCATATATCATACAGTCCTACACAATTGGGAAGTGTCCGACGTGTGATCCAATACAACAACCAGAATAGTGATCTTGTTTGCTGTGTACCAATCTTGTTGTGTTTCAAATAATAATAATAATAATTACTATTATTATTATTATTTTATTAACTTTTGAGCTCAAGGTGAGGCACATCATAGTTAAATACATTTATATGTATACCCGTCTGAACATATCTCCCTCTATGAACTATCATGGAGATTAAGATCTCCTGGGGTAGCCCTGCTCTCGGTCCTACCTCCATTGCAAATGCGGTTGGTGGGGATGAGAGACAGGACCTTCTCAGTGGTGGCTCCCTGGCTCTGGAACTCACTTCCCAATGAGATTAGATCAGCGCCCTCCCTCCTGGCCTTTAGAAAGAAAACAAAGAAGTGGTTGTGGGACCAAGCCTTTGACCATAAAATAATGCAGCGCAAAAAATAATTAGGATATATGTGCAATGGCAATTTGGAATGGCCACAGTGTACGATTTTTGGATCATGTGACTTTAATATTTATACTAGGATGTTTTTAATGCTTTGTCTTAATGCTTAAATTTTGTTTATGTTTAATGGTTTTAATTATTTTAATTTATAGTTATATGCTAGTGTTTAGTTATTATGATTTTTTCTCTACATGTATGTAAGCATTGGGTTTTCCCATTAGTATGTTGTAAACTGCCTTGAGACCCCTGTTACGGTGAGAAAGGCAGTATATAAATATCATTAATAAATATAATTACATATTAAAACATAGTTAAAATGTAGTCATAAAAGCATATACTAAAATATGACCCAAATATGTGAGAACCACCTGTGGCTGACTGGGATATGCACACAAATAGCCATCTATCTGAAGGAATAATTTGAGTCATGTCAATGGCGTCCATCCTTCCTGTCACTTTTGCTCTTTTGTAAGAATTAGGATTGGAAAGAAGTGTCTGTACCTCACCAGAATGGCATGAGATCCACCACATAGAAAGCAACTCCTTTGTCTCTCTAATTGGTAAAGTGAATAACCAAGGATTGGGAGATCACTGCTTCATATGTTATACCTGTGTTAATTGATTCATAAGGATCATACTTCCATCTGTCTTCCACAAGCGTTTGGACTTCCCAATTTTCTATTTGTAGCTTACTTTGCTGCCAAATTCAAAGGGTAGTAATACTTGATTCCATGTTTTCCCTTAGGCCTTTGAGGATATTTACATTGAACAGAGGAAGACCATTCGGACCTGCTTGGAGTACGCTGATAAAGTTTTCACCTACATCTTTATCCTCGAAATGTTGTTGAAGTGGTGTGCCTATGGATTTGTGAAGTTCTTCACTAATGCCTGGTGCTGGCTGGATTTCCTCATTGTAGCAGTACGTATCTTTTTGTGATTCTTCAAATCTATGCATTGCTTTCTGTGACATCTGAGATTGTTTTTCTGGCTAAAATAAGTGAGGCTTAACAATGCTGATCCTGTAGCACTCTGTAATCTGGGCATCAAACAGGAGCAGCCACCCAGCAGGAACTGTTGGAAAGGCATTCTCTTCTCCTGCTATTTATTATTGATGTTGAAAGTTGAGGACATTTGCATGCCATCACTCTCAGGTCTACTTTTCCATTGGGATCACAGTGTTGATTGAAAGTGAGAACGGAGCAGAGGAGGTGTCAAAAAGCAAAAATAGCCCTAAAGCAAATCTGATTTCTAGCAGTTCACCAAAAAATCAATTTTTACTCTTATACATCCTGTCTGATTTTGGGAGCTAAACAGAATATTTGGATGGGCGACCACCAACAAATACTGGTTGCGGCTGACTATATTTCAGAGGAAGGAAGTGGCAAACCATCGTATTGCTTGCCAAAGAAAACTCTGTGAAAATCATGAGGTCACCACAAGTTGACAGGTAACTTGAAGGTAGAAATGCACACAAATACACACATATAGTTCATCTAGAAGTTGAGACAACAAAAGTGTTAAGGACTGATCTTGGGGATAGAAATGTGCAACATCACAAGCACCCATTAATACTATCAATTCATACGTCACTATTTATATAGCCTACTTGTATCCCAGACTGAAACTTAAGATAGTTCACAAAAGATGGAAAATTACATTACAAACACATATAGTTAAGAACAGGGGTTCTCAAATTTTATAAACAGAGAGCCAGGTCACAGTCCCTCAAACTGTTGGAGAGCCGGATTATAATTTGAAGAAAAAAAAACATGAATGAATTCCTATGCACACTGCACATATCATATTAGTGGGGGGGGGGGACACTTAAAAACAATACAACAATTAAAGTGAAGAACAATTTTAACAAATATAAGCTTATTAGTATTTCAGAGGGAAGTGCTTTTGGCTGACGAAATAAGATTGTTGTTGTTGTTGTTGTTTGCTTTCAAGTCGTTTCAGACTTAGGTTGACCCGAGTGAGGGCCGGGTAAATGATGTTGGAGGGCCGTATCTGGCCCCCGGGCCTTAGTTTGAGGACCCCTGGTTAAGAACATATAAAAGTGGAGATTAAAACAATATTAAATAATAGAATAAAAACCATTTAAAATATTACTTTAAATTTTAAACATGCACAGCACCATAAAAGCTAACCATTAATTCTCCAAGCTGGAACAGAAAGATCTTCACTTGCCTCTGAAAAGACAGCAAAGGAAGAACCATCTGAACCTTCCCAGGAAAAGAATTTCCAAATCTGGAAGCCGCACCCTCCTTGTTAGACATCCAATATTGATTGAGAACAAAGGACATTAGAGCCTCATGGGGCAGTGGGTGGCATTTCTCACCTGTCTCCCCACCAGCCATCAGACTGAGACTGGCCACCTTCAGGATTGCCTACAGCAATGCTATTCAAACTAAGACACTAGCTACCAGCCCCTGGCAAGTTTCCAGGAAAGAAACCTGGGCACAGATACAGTACTGGAGGAAAATAGCTGGCCTCCCACGTCACAACAGCCAAAAAGCACTAGCTTAGAAAAAAAAGCTGTTTTTAGCAAATCTTGAACAGCATGGTTCTTTTCTTCGGTGTGTTTATCTGTCCTGGGTATTGTAAGGGCAGAGTTTGGAAGCAGCTCCTACAATAACTAGTTTTGAGTAAGATAGTAATTAATTTTCACCCAATAATGGAAGTAGAACTAAGGCCCCATCTACACTGCCATATAATGCAGTTTCAAAATGCAGTTTAACTACATTGAATTGTATTGTCGAAGGCTTTCATGGCCAGAATCACTGGGTTGTTGTAGGTTTTTCGGGCTGTATGGCCATATTCTAGAAGCATTCTCTCCTAACATTCCACCTGCATCTATAGCAGGCATCCTCAGAGGTTGTGAATTATATGCAATGTGGATTATATCAATCAACATTGCATATAATCCAGTTCAATGCAGTTAACCTGAATTCTGAAATATGGCACTGTAGAGCTAGTCTCAGTCACTTTACCATTCTTAACCTGCACGGAAGAAATGGATCCCCTTTTGTCCTGTAACTCCTTTAGTACTACCTTACTTTTATAGCTGCCAGGCTGAAGGAGTATTTATTTATTTACTTCACTTGTATACCACTTTTCTCACCCCAGCGGGGGACTCAAAGTGGTTTCCAACATAATTATGGCAAAATTTAATGCCTCACATACAAAAACTTAAAATAATGATAATAACAGTGATAGCACATGGTTCAAGAGAAAGAGCTCACAATGGGGGAAAATCGGGTTGAGGAGCATTCTTATGGCAGCTCTTGTGGGTGCTCTGATGCATGAATGCGTTCTGTCCTTGATTACAGCAAACATATCAGGAAGCTCTGTACCAGAAGAAAAGGTTCACTTAAATATCATTAGCATTTCTTTATCACATGTTGTGATTCCCAATTTCAACAGCAGGAATGCAGATGATCCACATACTATTCAGCAGGGATGGAAAAGAAGGTTTAACTTGCCTTCCGCACAAATACACCAATACATATACCACAATCACAGCAACAATAGGAATTCCTCCTCCTCTTTGTCTCAAGAGGAAATCACTATTAGATGCCATTAGTAACCTGTCTCCCACGATGAAATAGCAGTTTTGCGAGTAGGTGGTTATCAAGCCCACAATGCAGAGAGAGAGAGAGACAACGTCCTCAGTCCAGTATGACTGTTCAAGAACATGCACCAGTAAATGCAAATAAACAGGAACATATAGTTTTGCTCTCTAACTATTCCCTTCCTGTAATGGCAAGGTTCTCTCTGTTGATGAGAGTCTCTCTGACAAAATTAGAAACCTTCCATTGGCCATATTTTCTAATGAAATAGTGTCTTCCCTGTGTAGAAGAGAAGACCTGAAAGTGAGGTGATGCATGTACAGCAAACTACTTTTGTGGACAATAATTGTATATAATAGAAAGAAATAAAATGAAATGTGTGGGTGGAGTGGGTGTGTTTAAAGTGTTTTGAAGGTATCTCTGAAGATATTTTTACCAAAATAGAATATACTCAAACTGGCCCTTGTAAGAAAGATCTTCATCCTAAGATCATAGGATAAGATCTTTGAAACATCTCCAAAATAACTATATTGTTTGTTACTGGATTATCACAGTGAAAACAATGTGCAAGTGGTATTTCTGAAACATAGGGACCTTTTGACCATATCATTCTCTACTAGTTTCCAAAGATGTCAAATATATTTGTGATTTCTCTGCAGTTTTTTTTTCTTTTTTCCCTTTTTTTCTGGAGCAATGATACATTTTGTTGGTATGGTTATGTTTTGGTTTGGGGTTTGCCTTTTAGAGAAAGGTGAATTATTAATCTAATAGTACAAAGCACCCCATGATTTAATACTTTTTGATATAATTATTTCTTTAGAAACAACCAATATACTTTTTTTCTGAAAGAACCTTCTAAAAACTAACTAACCATAATCCAGTGTAAATTATTACTTTAATATTTGTTCACTTAATTGTAAGTTTCAAGATGTGAGAAGGGAATGTTGGTTGCTTTAATGCTATTTGTCTTTCTACTCACCCCAAGTCTTCTATTTAAGTAATCAATGTTGAATGTTTGTTTTTGTGTTGAGGATGAGATCACAAAAACTGCATTTCATGTTTTGTCTCTAAAAAGGACCCCAAATTTTTAAATCCAGTTTCATAAAAGTTCTTCTTTGAAGCCTTTATCACACTTGCTAACTGCATAGAAAAACAATAAATGCACAGCTACTTCCAATGACATAGAAAATTGTTTCCACAAACAGTTCAGAAAGCTCTGGTCTTATACACATTTACTAGGAAGTAAGCCCCTTAGGACTCAGAAGTTACTTTTGATTAAGCATGCACATAATTTCACTGTTAATCAAGTTTACTTTGGTGTCATGTTAAGCAATGGATGAAGGGTGACTTTCATAATATGAAACCCCCCCTCCCCCCAATCTAACAGTTGTGGCAATCTGATTTACTTGCTTCCCATCAAACCAGATTCTAGGATTGCCAAGATGAAACAAACCACTATGAGAAGATTAAATTACATTTTGCTGATTCCATACCATTTGAAATGTGGGTGCAGAGTACAAACGATAACTACAAAAATATCGTTTACACATACTGTATCCTCAGTCAATGGATAACTATAATCCCATTAGTTGCCAAAATGCATCAAGATTTTGCTCCACAGGACATCTAAAACTCAGGACAAAGAGTATTCAAAATTCATATCCCTCCAAGAAGAAATACCTCATATAGGCTTTTTTCACCACATAATAGTCACACTCACCCTTTTGACCAAAATAGGATTTAAAAATGACTATTTTGTGGTGAAATGTGTTATTTTCATATGTCTTTATAGGCATGATATAGCCTAAGTGTTCTTACATTTCTTTCCAGTGGATGACATTTAAGTATATGACTTGTTTAAACCATTGGAGCTTAACAGTGTAATCCTGTACATGTCTTCTCAGAAATAATCAACTTAATGGCCCATCATTACTTTAACCATTATAGAGTAAATACATTGCTGAAAAGGAATTATAAAAGGTCCACCATTTTAACAGCAATGCTTGTTTTTTGTTCATAGGATGATTTTTCAAATATCAATTTTTCTGTATCACTTGATAGGTTTGACGTAACCTATTCATACTTTAATTTGATCTTACTTTACACCTTTTGTAGGTTAACTCTACTGGATATCATATTGATCCAATCTTTAGACCCACAAACCCATTCCAACATTATAAAGTACAACATATTCTTGCCATCAAATTTGTTCATAGTACTGGAGCCAAACTCTCCTCAACATTTTGCATTGCTCAGACTTCTTTTCCTTAACTGTCAAAGAAAAACCATAATGTTCTCCCATTGACACCACTTCCAAACATCGATAAAAGTGCTGGAAAACATTACCCTGAATGCTAGTTCCTAGATTTTTAAAATCTCAGAAGCCAAAGTGAATCGAAACGTATGTTATTCTACCTATTTTGGTTTTAAACTAATTAATGTTTTACTATTTTTAACATTCCAATTTAATAAATGTACTTTGAGCATTCTCAATTTTCAGTGAAAGGAAACAAAAATAATATTTCTTTCTCAGATGCTTTATAGTTTACGAAGAAAACATTAAAAATTGAGGTTAATTCCACTCCATGCACAGACCCTGAAGATACAGTCACCACCTCTGGATACTCAGGTCCACACAGCAAGATCTAAAGCTAGGATTCACATGGGGTGGGTGGGTGGTCTGTTCCCCCCTCAAAAATGGCTCAAAACCAAAACATGTTTACTCTTGACAGTGCTAAAATGCAAAGTAATCACAACGTGCATTCAGCCAATATGATTCCTGTATTCAAATACTACCACAGCACTGGAGCTGCCAGACTTGCTATACCAAACACAATCTGGCTTGCAGCATTCATATGATTTGGTTTTTTGGGGGAAAATATTTTGTGTATACACCAGAGGATATAGCAAAAATGCATGGTACGTGCTGCATTTGTGGTGATTTCATAATATGTGATTCAACCCTCAGTCCCAGTTATTTTAGCAACTTCTCTTTACCCTTGAGGTCACTCATACAGAGTTTGGGAAGGTCATTTTTGGACTAAACTCCCAGGATCTTGCAGTCAGCATAACAAAGAAGATTGCAGTTCAACAGTGACTCTTTCCAACATCTGCTCTCATACTGTTCAACACCATTGTTACTCACAGTGACACAAAACATAATTCCACTGGAAAGACTGATGATCAACTTGTTAAACTGAAATCCAGCTGGAGCTACACAATTTACCCTACATGAGTGCATTGCATTCTTCGGACTTGCATTGTTGGCTTTTCAATGAAGATTACTTCCCTCACTCTGCCCTATTAGATGTCACACTAGTAGAAAAGATAGGCCTCCCCACCATTTTCCCAACCCACCTGACTGACAAAACTAAGGCAGATTGTGCAGTGTGTGTATTTATCTGTATTCTTTCTCATAGGTACCTTTAAAAATTTGTCTGGCTTAATTTAATGGGAGCTGCTGGGATCCTGCAGACTGTTAAGAGGGCGAGGGTAAGGTTCTTGTCATCCGTTTGGGCTCCTAACCTTCCAACAGACCCTGTTTCCGTCTGTGTGTCTCTGCCTCTATCTCACTTATTTTCCCCTTTTGTTTTATACTTATGCCTCTCTCAACCGCATTATTTCCTTCCAGGTCGTTTCAGTGAAGTGCTGTAGGCAGCTGGTGGTCTTGTCTTCGATATCACTAGAACTGGGGGTGGACCGGGGCCGGCAGTCCAGTTCGTGGGATGGAAATACTGTCAGTGCTAGGGGATTTATTCTAACAGTCTGGAACCTCTTCTTTTTGTTTTTTGTTTTCCTTTTCCTTTCTTTGTTTCTGTTTTCTATGTAGGTCTCTTTAGTCAGCCTTATAGCTAATGCCCTGGGCTACTCGGAACTAGGTGCCATTAAATCCCTTAGGACACTCAGAGCCTTGAGGCCTTTAAGAGCGTTGTCCCGATTTGAGGGGATGAGGGTAAGACGCCATTAGCGAGCTGATCCTTCTGCATGCCTGTGGGTTATGGCTGGGTGGGTTAAAAAAAGAAAAGCATGCTAGAACCGATCAAAATGGTAGAAAGACATAACAACAAACAGAATCATGATGCAGCTGCTGACTTGATCACCTCCCTCCGTTTCTGGTTCACCCTCACCCCGCTGCACAGTTCTCCCTTTTTTTTTAACTGCGGGAAAAGAAAAGAAAAGAAAAAAAGGGAGAAGTATTAAGCTGCCTCATTATTGGCCCAATCCACATGTCATTTGTAGATTCTCTGTTGGCACTTGGCTGTTCTTATTTGGCCTGGCTTCTAATACCTCTAGCATCTGAGGGGGCATTTCTGGCTGTAAGTTTTGGATAGGGAGAATCACCAGGTGCAAAGAAGCAGAATTTAAACCACCTCGGGGGTTTTTTGCTTCCTTTTTCCACTTAAAGTTTGTGATCAAAGGTGACTTAAAAAAGATTAAACATTTTAAAAAATTAAAGCTCATGCTATATTGGTGGGGTTGTTCAGGATTACCAGTAAGGGCTGGACTGTCGGAATAATGTCTTTGTGCCAAAAGAATGGAGCTCTGGTTTAATTCCTCTCATTTGCACCTCGTTGTTCTCTGTCCAGTCCAGTAGCGACTGGCAACCTTGACTGATAGCTCAGCTTTCCTCCCTATTCTCCCTTCTCCCTTTATCGTGCTTTATGGTCCCCTGTCCTGTGATATGTTAGCAGTAAGTCACAAGCAAAGCAAGGAACCTGAGCTTTCTCTAACATCAATAGATGATGCCACATAGCTCTTGAAACATTCATGTATTGGTAGGAACTATCTGTTTATTTTTAAAAAATAGAAAAAAGGTTTGGTGTATGGAACAAAACTATGCTAAACTCTCTCAAAAAAAGATCGCCCTGTTCTGTGTGTAAAAGAAACTACTCTATGCTTTTAAGGCTGTAATCCTAAAGAACTCATATTAAGGGGAAAGCCTCATCGAATGCCATGGACTTACTTCTGCATCAATATGCACAGGATTGCACAACTTGAATGTTGCAGTATGCATCTAGCAAACACACAATAATCAGTAAGACTTAGACTAAGGTAAGAGGGAGAAATTTGACAGGACATAATGATAGTACAAAGAAGTAGAAGTGTACTTCCTTCAAGATCTGATTCTGAAGATCTCAAACAGCTCAGTGTGGAATTATAAAGATGCAGTTTACTCAGAAGTAAGATCCACTGATTATAGAGTTTCTCCAAAAGAAATGTTTACTAGGACTACAGTCACAGAGTAGATTGGTCATTTTAAAATACATTTTGGCCCTCTGATGGCACAGCAGGTTAAACTGCTGAGTTACTGAACTAGCAGTTCAAATCTGGGGAGCGAGGTGAGCTCCCGCCGTTAGGCCCAGCTTCTTCCAACCTAGCAGTTCGAAAACATGCACATGTGAGTAGATCAATAGGTACCACTTCAGCAGGCAGGTAAAGGTGCTCCATGTAGACATGCTGGCCACATGACCTTGGAGGCGTCTACAGTCAATGCTGGCTCTTTGGCTTAGAAATGGAAATGAGCACCAACCCCCAGAGTCAGACACGACTAGACTTCATGTAAGGGGAAACCTTTACCTTTTCCTTATAATATGTTTAATAATGAATATGGAGTTGTTAAAGATTAACTGAAGAATAACAGAGATTCCCCTTTTTCAAAAATTCCCAGCTCAGTACTTACTATGTCATCTTAAAAGTATGTATATATGCCTTCTAGAGGTTTTTGTGATATAGATAGATAGATAGATAGATAGATAGATAGATAGATAGATAGATAGATAGATAGATATCTCACATGCCCCTTAGATGGAAACATGTGCTAGTGAAATCAATAAATGAAATTTAGATAAATCGCATCTAGAGAAATCACACAATGAGCAGTTGCTTAAGACTTTACCATTTCAAGAAAAGGATCACAATTTTTATTTTGATTCTTCAAAAACAGTTTGAGAAAATTTGAATTGCATTCTAGTTTAGACTGTCCTAGTCCTTGTAAAACAAGCACAGAAAGTGATTCTAATAATAGCTTATAAGGGTGACTTTGTTAGACTACATGGGGGCTGTAGGTTTTGAAGAGTAGTATTTTTTTAAAAAAAATGATTTTCCAAACTTTAGCTGATATAGCATTCCCCCATGATGGGGAGTCATGTGAGAAGGACATGGTGTATGTTGTTATTTTTACTTGCAGAAGCATTAAGGTGTGTAATACTTTTTTCTGAGATAGGTCTACATAACTGAGCTGAATTATGGCCAGTTTAAGAAAGGCATGGGTTTTAATTAATGCTGTCCATTTCAACAGGACTTATGCCCAAATATGTTTAGACTTTGAGTCCACTTACCAATCCAGACATGAAGATAGACATGGCACCACAACATAAATCTGTCTGTATTTATTCTGAAGCAAGTCTCAATGCTTTCAGTGGGACTTACTGCCTAGTAATAAATATGGTTAGGATTGCAGTTACACAAACAATTTGTATATTTGGACATAGGTTTGTATCTCCTCTAATATGCACAAGAAGTTTCCAGCCTGTGCATGGCTTATCCTTCCTGGATCAAAGCAGAAATATATGAGCAAAGAATTGAGAAAATAAAATATTGTCACTTTCAGCTAGCTTGGCTGGAATGCTTCCAGTTCCCTGACATCTTTCACTTACTGGAAATGGTCCCTTGGTGGGAAAATATAATAAATTGCAGTAGGAACCTGCGGTCCTCCAGATGTTGTTGGACTCCAGCTCTCATCAATATCAACATTCATGGTTGATATTTAGATATAAGGAGCACTGTGTTCTAATAATATCTGGAAGACCAACGCTTCTCCACCCAAGCACAGATCTGATCAAACTTAATTTTCTATTTTCTGCTAGACACATTGGAGGAATTATTATTTTCACTTGTGAAGGGTTAACTAGATTTTGTGTTTGTTTTATTGCTTTAACAAAACAAAACAGGAAAGGGATTTAACTTACTGGACTACTTGCTAACATTCTCCCATCCTTCTTATTATTCCCAATTCAAATTGACATCTCACCAAAGACAATACGAATCCATCTGAAGCTGAAAAAAAGAAATGAAACTATTTTGCTGAGAACCACCAAATACAGTTCTTTCCTTTTTGTTCTGTGCCTTAATAGTTTGAATTTTAAAGAATGTACTCACCAGATCCTATACGAAGCTAAGTAGGACCAGCCCTTGTTAGTTTTTGGCTAGGAGACCACCAATGAATGCCAGGTGCTCTAGGTTATATTTCAAAGGAAAGGATGGGCAAAATCACCTCCTGAGCATTTTTTTTTTTTTGCCTGAGAAAACCTTATGAAATTAATGGGATCGCCATAAATTGACAGGTGACTTGAAGGCACATACACACAAACAGTTTTGTATATTTTCCAGGGGAGTGGGGAGTGACAGTGATGCTATGAAACTTGCATGCACTTCTTGACAATTTCTAATACACAGTCGTCACACCAAAAGCCATGTTCCCTTTCTCGTAGTAGTTGGTGACAATATTGGTAATTTGGCTAGAAAAACACAATGAAGTGAAAGAATAAAAAGAAAGCTCTGATTCTGTTTTTCAAACAAATCCCAAAATTGAAACATTTTTAAAATTGCTCTAAATTTCTTATCCAGTAATTGCATTGCTTTTCATCTTTTCTAATTGTCATGTTTTCAGGTGATTTCAGGACACAGACATTTTGAGGTTCTTAGTAGAACCTGAGATTTCAAAAAAAGATTTAAGGAGTTATATTATCATTTTTTTCTCCTGAAAATAAAAAGCAGAGAAGGCAGTGAAGTTTTGCTTACAAACCTTGTCCCATCATTTGTCCCATATTTTTCTGCAGAGAAAAATGTTGCGTCCACTGTCCACCATAAGGGATCGCTTTAAAACTTTCTGCAGAATTATGTAATGCAAGAGTGCCACCGCTGACAAAGAAGCAAACCTTGTTGCTTTCTGATTAAACCCAATTTAGTTTAGGGATGTTCACATGTTCCTTTAAAAGAGTTTCAGACAAGGGTCAGTATGGAGCCCCGGTTTCACAATGGGTTAAATCCTTGTGCCGGCAAGACTGAAGACTGACAGGTCGCAGGTTCGAATCCGGGGAAAGCGCGGATGAGCTCCCTCTGTCAGCTCCTGCTCCCCATGAGGGGATATAAGATAAATCTCCCATAAGGATGGTAAAATACCAAAACATCCTGGCGTCCCCTGGGCAACATCCTTTCAGATGGCCAATTTTCTCACACCAGAAGCGACTTGCAGTTTCTCAAGTCGCTCCTGACACGAAAAACAAAAAAGGTCATCATGGGATTGTTTGGCCCAGCCAAACCCTTCTGAACTGGTTCCTGTCAAAGCAGCCAGTATTGAGTTAAATGAACTGAAGAACTGATTTGATATAGGGAAAGCAAACATTTATTTCTAATGTGGACAATACTGATACGATATGCAAAGAACTAACCTAGATCTGTTAAAGGCATGCTATATTTTTCTTCATGGATTTGTGAAAATACCACCTGTAGAGTAAAAAAAAGGAAAGAAGCCCTACAAAACACGTATCAATCTCATTTGTTATGGTACAGAGGAGGGAATATGGCTTTCTTTTTTGAGCTTGCAAACATGCATGCTCAGCTCTTTGGACATGGTTGGACTTGCTTATCAAATAATATGTAGACTCTTGAATATTTTTATACTAAGAGACTGCTAAGTCTTAGAATTACATTGTTACCCATTCCTACTCCCATTTGAAAGTAATGGCTCAATAGTCCACATTTATCTTCATGGGAATAGGAGAAACAGGGCATGTATATCCAATATAAGTCTGGTTTTAAAGTGGGGAATGGTTGCTAGCTGAAATTACATCAGAGATTCCTTTATCTGACCTAGCTGTTGGAATCCAATGTGAGTCTTGTTGATGTCAAGATGAAGGCCTCCACTTTTTCCTAACTTTATTCATCCTTTATCAAATAATTACAGAATTGCAAAAAAATACCTGCCAAAAGGCTTTTCAAAAATGGTAGAAGATGGAGAGAAGGTGTCATTTTGATTACATTGGTGCTTGTGACTAGCCTTGCGTTCAATTCCCCCCACTAAAACTAGGCATGTTTATGTTTTGTTTCTAAGTCATTGCCTTTTCTGTACTAAAACTCTTTCCTCCTTCCTCCTCCTTCCAATGCAGGTGGTTGTGAATGCCTTGGTGGGCGCTATACCATCCATTATGAATGTGTTGTTGGTCTGCCTTATCTTCTGGCTGATTTTCAGCATAATGGGGGTAAATCTTTTTGCTGGGAAGTATCATTACTGCTTTAATGAGACAGCTGAATATCGGTTCGAGATAGAAGAGGTGAACAACGAGACAGACTGTTTCAAACTGATGGAGCCCAACAGTACAGAGATCCGATGGAAGAACGTCAAGATTAACTTTGACAATGTTGGTGCTGGGTACCTGGCCCTTCTGCAAGTTGTAAGTTCTACCTGGTAGAAACTCTATGTGTTGTGTGTGTGTGCAGCAAAAATGTTGGAAAACCAAAATGGTTTCATATTAGGCTACTTAGTATTTGAATGGGAAAGAACCAAAAAATACAATAGCTATGGCTGAGTTCTAGAGGATGGCAATGGCAAACCACCTCTGAGGCCATATAGACTCATATAATCCAGTTCAATTCAGTTATACTGCATTCTGAAACTACATTATATGACAGTGTAGATGGGGCCTGATCATTCCTTCTTTAAGAATATCATATGAAATTCATCAGTCAACCAGTGACTTGAAAGAACGTTCACATGGAAAGAACCCATCAACCTTCTATTTATCAGGCAGCAGTAAGAAGGTATTGTATGGCAGTCTGGGAGAAGTAAGACCAAGCACATTAAGAATAACTTAAAGGGATAAATATCTCAGCTAAATGAATGAGTAATCAATGGGGAAATGAATTGCATGTCCAGATGCAAGAGAATTACTTCCCAGCCAGCTTTAATCCCATGTTATTCCTCAGGGGAGAACAAAGCCTGAACATGTTCAGTAAAGAGCCCAATGCATTCTCATAACAGCTCTTTCCAGAGGATGTGTTTCCAATAACCTGAATGGTGATGACCCATCCTGAGACATAGGCTGTAGTACAAAATAAGCTTACTTCATGCAAGCAAAAGGTCTTCTGAGGCCTCTTCTGCCTAAGGAAGTCAGTCCTTTGTGCAGCTCATTATTTATTTGTTTATTCATTTCTATCCCGCTTTTCTCCTGGATTGGGACTCAAAATGGTGCACAACATGTAAAAAGCAAAAACATACAGTAAAAAAACAGCAGCATCATAGACATAGGACTATCTATAAAAAATTAGCCCTAGCTTCCAATTGCCTGGCTTTATTGTTTTTGCGCCATCATGAGATAGCTTTAGCTCTGGTCCTGTAGCATCACATCCTTTATTAAATGATAATTAAATATGATATATTGTGTGTGTGTGTGTGTGTGTGTTGTGGTGTGTTTTTAAACCTTTCAGTGATCTTTATTATAATGTCTGAGTTATAGCTCCTGTAACATTTTATAACAACAAAGGATTAAAATGGAAATAGTTCAAAGTAATCTTAAGAACCACAAAAGACAAGAGTCCCTTTTACTAAAGATTAAAAGGGGGGTACCATCTCTCCACAAAGGCACTTTGTACTACGTTGCTGATGAAACAAATAATAATAATAATAATAATAATAATAATAATAATAATACTTTATTTATACCCTGCCACCCTCTCCCCAAGGGGACTCGGAGCGTCTTACATGAGGCCAAGCCCGACAACACATCAATAAAACAAAAAACAATAAGCAAAAACAGTACAATTAATATAACTCACATATAAACAGTAACACACAAAGATTTAAAAACCTATGGTGTGGCCAAATGTAATAGTTTAAAATTTAAAAAATAAACGCTGGGCATGAACAGAGATAGGATGTATCTGATAGGAAGCTTTTAAATGAAATGAAGGGAGAGCAACCCAATGAGTAGTTAAAGTGCTTCTGAGGACATTTTGCTGGAGATTATTTCCTTATTCAGGGAAGGCACACTGGAACAGCAAATACACACTATGAACAACTGTAGGCCCCTAAATTGAATCTGAATGAATTTATACAAAACACAGTTAGGTTTTTCTGAATAGGGATTCTCAGTTTAAATGCTGTCTATGACTAGGAGGCAAAAATACTTGGCTAGGCTAAAAACCAAAATGTCACATTTTGATTCCAAAGATGATAAAGCACAACAAAGTGGAAGGCAGTAGGAAACAATGAAGGCTGTCTTACAAGTGAATTGATTCCATCAAGGACTGCATGGCCCTTAATGTGCAGGTCCTAGGCCTACACAATACATGGCCCACGGGCTGCATATGGCCTGCACAATCAATTGGTGCAGCCAGCTGAGCGCTGCTGCCCCCAGCCGCTTCCCCTCCCCTCATCACCCCAAGTGCTTACCCCAAATGTTCATTCTGCTATACGCATATGCAAATCTGCTTATATTTAAATTAAGATATTTGCATGTGCACATATACTGTTCAGTGCATAACAAAGTGTTTTTTTAAAAAAAACGTCCACCTGATGTCTCTTGTCTGCCCTTCATCTTGTTCTGATATAGAGATCTGTGAGGACAGCAGGGGAAGAAATCCCGAGACCAACAGGTCTGTGTGCGGACATATTATCAGGTCCCAGGTTTCTTTGTCTTCCTTTAAAACCCACATTTTTGAGCTTTTCTGGAAGTGTCCAAAATTGACCTTTTTCTTTTTCTTCTTCTCTCTCCTGCAACCCCATATCCCACTGTAAAAGTATGTACTTGCTACTTCATCACACTAGAGAAAAAAATCCACTTTAAATCCAGTGTCTGCCTCCTGTGGAATTTGGGGGTTTGTAGTTTAGTGAGGCTGTTAAAGGCTCCTCCCTAAACTACAAACCCAGAAATTCTGCGGGAGGCAGCAACCAGATTTTAAGTTGATTTTTTCTCTAGTGTGATGAGGTCATTGGAAATTTAGGAGCAGATTTGTAGAAGGCATAGATAAGGGAACTAAACAGGCTACGGAAACTGTCCCTCTGCAAGTTCCCTTGGTAAAAGCAGTTTCACCAGCTGAAGACACACAACTGTGATTTTCCAGATTAATAGCTTAATCCGGTATGTGTCCAGTATTCAGTGTTCTTTCCCATTGTTCTCCTCCTTTTCTGTTTTATGTTTATGAATGAAAAGTATTCTCCTTTTTTGTTAAAATGTGTGTGTTTTGTTTTCAACAGGCTACCTTTAAAGGCTGGATGGACATCATGTATGCAGCAGTAGATTCCAGAAGGGTAAAGTACCTTTATACTGTAATCATACAGCTGCTTTTAAAAGCCACCAGATTATTTTACAAGAGAAAGAAAATCTGCCTTCCAGAGTCATACCTACTGGTTGTCATATGAAGGAGGAAATGAAAGATGGGGCCTTTGTCCTAATTCTGTTGCTTCCTAAGTACACAGAAGGGCCTCCCTTAGGTGCATAAATGTGCAAAGCATGGTTTAGATATCCAGTTGAGTGGTTTTTTTTTCTTTTTGCCTAAATGTTGTAAATGGGAAAACATGACATGCACTTTGTATTCCTATGAAGCTTTCATTCAGGGAGCAATGATGTTTTGAGACTGTTTCTGATTGTTAGATTTAACAGGCTCTTCATCAATTTTCAATAAAAAGTTTAAGCCTCACGCCTCTTCATTTAAGCCTCTACTAAATTATTTTCATAAAGTATAGATCCTCAGATATGTGTTATATATGTACATATGTATATTTTCCTTTCTACACAGCAAGATGAGCAACCCAAATATGAGGATAACATCTACATGTACATCTACTTTGTCATCTTCATCATCTTTGGATCCTTCTTCACCTTGAACCTCTTCATTGGTGTCATTATCGACAACTTCAATCAACAAAAGAAAAAGATAGGTCAACGTTTCCTATATCCCCCACATACAGGGGACCAGTTGTTACAATTTACTGAATTATTATGATGTAGTTAAGTAAATATTGAGATACTCTGGGATGGTTCACACATTTATGGGTGCATCTACACTTTAGAATTAATTCAGTTTGACATCACTTTAACGGCCACGGATAGAATCATGGGGGTTGAAGTTTTACAAAAGGTTTAGCTTTCCCTGTCAAATAGTGTTGATTCCTCACCAAACTGCAAGCCCCAATGATTCCACAGCATTGAGCCATGGCAGTTAAAGTGGCATCAAACTGCATTAATTCTAGAGTGTATATTACTTACCATTGGAAGGTAAAGTCATCTTGGCATAAAACTCTGAATTGATTGAATATCCAGATATACTTTTCTGTCCCCAAATGTTAATGTTTCAGTGACCCTTCACCAGACTGGTTGCTCAGACAACAACAACAATTTTTATTTATTAGCCAATTGGCCTTATCAAAAACAAACAATGCAGACATAACATACAACATACAACTATTCCTCTTGCTCAGACAAATGCGTAGCAGTCATGCATCACACAAACGACTTGCTGTGGCGATATTGCTCTATTCAAAGCAGCAATTGTAAGATGGTTCATGATTTTGAATTGGACCTCAAATCTGGTATTTTCTGCAAGAGAACTAAATAGATTGTCCGTGTTGAAGGACCAGGAAGTTGGCCTAGTCTCTCATCTTATCTGGAAAATATTGCGTAACTTCTACATAGAGTAGAGAAAAATTCTGCCCATTTCAGTCACTTCTTAGTCTTTACACAAAGGTAAATGGGTTATAACCAGCCTTCTTCCCTTTGCTTTCCTTTACTTTGGAGGTCAGGATATCTTCATGACAGAGGAGCAGAAGAAATACTATAATGCCATGAAAAAACTGGGCTCCAAGAAACCTCAAAAGCCAATTCCAAGACCTTTGGTGAGTTTTTCACAAGTAATTGAAGCAGTGCAATAAGTTGATTATGAAACAATGTGATTGACAAAGGGAACGGCCCTGGATTATGTTTTTTTGGCATGGTTTTGATTGTTGTTTTTTAATAATTCTTGTTTTAATTGTTTGGTTTTAATTGTAATTTTTTTTAAAATGTTGTGAATGGCATCAAATTGCTGCCTTGTTGTAAGGCCATCTTGAGTCCCCTCCAGGCAGGAAAATAATATTTTTTTCAATTTCTCCCTGGATGTAATTCCTTGTACCCTCCTCATATTTCTTCCAGTTGCTGAATGCCCTCCTCACAAGGGCTGACTTATCATTTTGGTGCCAAAAATAAGCCCTTTTGTCTCTCCAGGCCCTTTGATCTCTTCCTGCTTCAAGTTCATGTTATGGTTTTAAACACTGTTTTTTAAGCTCCTTGAAGACATAGGTAGCTCTGCCTTCTTCCTCAAATTCAAAATACTGTTTCTGTCAGCTCAGAACCCTGTATTTTGATAAATTCAGTCTTTTGATAAATTTTGTTCCCCTGCAGCTGCCCTTCCCAGCCTCTTTGAGAAGTAATAGGCTATTTTCAGATCAAATATTCCCAACACTTCCTCTTCTGTTTTCTTGATTTATTTGTTGCAAGTCCTCCTGAAAATAGGCCTCTAAGAAATATATGAAATAAATTAGCATGCATTTGGCAGAGCCAAATTATCCAATTCTACCAAAACATGGGTGTTGTGGAGTGGGTCCTCCAGGTAAATGGGGAGCCCAACTTTTTTAGTACTTGCCAGTACTGTTGTTCAATTGAATAGCAAAGAGAGCTTTTGTACCTTCAGTAGTTGATCAGGGCATTTCCACAAGTGTTGCTATTGTCAAGCAATTTAGAATGGCTGTGGACTAGGCCCAAGCCATTGTGGGTTGTCTGGAGAGAAAAGAGAAGCCAATATTCCAGAATAAATCTCACCAAGTTGAAGCAGAAGCCACCAAGATGTTTATTTCATTCCAACTGGAGCGAATGTCAAACTGCAATCATTTGCAAAAGCCGACACAGTTTGCAAAGGGAAATATTACAGTTTTTATATGAAATACAGAGCTGTCAAATTCAAATTTACTGCTCCTGCCCCCCTCGCCGGCTTTGCACTGATTGGTTGGAGTCATCAGCTGGCTGGGAGGTGCGGCCGGCTTATCCATGCCCCAGCCAATCAGGGAGCCAGCGCCGCTTTGACCTCTCAGCCAATGGGAAGGAAGGAGGCAGTCCCGGCAGGAAGCAATGAACCGGGAGGAAAAGATGAATGGATCTGTTGATGATATCTTGGATCAGTATTGGCCAGAGGAATTGACACAATGGAAGGAGACTGAGGTGACTTAACACCTTTTGTGAAGGATGATTAGAATGTCCTTAGAATCCATCCCTCAGATGGGCAAGCCTTTGGCTTCTCCGAAGTCTGAGGAAATAGAGTCATTTGTTTTATTTTCCATGCAAAGAGTTCCTGGTGAGTCCTTTTGTCTAGGGTTTAGCTGGCTCAGGAAATGGAAAAAAAAATTCCCAAAGCCATGAGGTGCTGGGTTCACGAAGAGGTGACATTTCATATTTCATATAGGGATATGGGGAAAGGGGAAACATACAAGTTCATAAGGGTAAAATCATGCAAATTGCAAAGGGAATCATACCATCCCTCCCTCCCTCCAGAGTCCATCAAAGGTTCATATAGATCAGTGAAATATCATAAAAGTTCATAAGGGTTTGGTATAGGGTCCATAAGAGTTCCAGAGTCCATGAAAGTTGATTAAAGGTTTCCAAAAGTTCATAGAAAGTCCATAAAGTGTGGGTTACAGGGCATTGCCATGTGGGGCCATGGAAAGAGCCTTAGGTTCCCACATGGGGAGAGATAGGGGATTAGGGGATCATTCCAGCCTGGTGTCCTTGGTAAAACTATGAGTTCCTTGGTTTTGAACCATCTTTTACAGAGTCCTGGCGGGGAGGGGGGGCACCTCCAATATCATTGCTTGTCATGTAAACATAGAAGAAGCAACACTCACTGCAATTCCCTCTTCTACATACCTCAGGCCCGCAAAAGTAGGAAAGGACCAAAATTAAAATAAGCTAAGCCTCTTTGGGTCACAGATTGGATTTTACCACCTTTGAGAGAGGGTTTCAGCAATCAGCAAAATGATAAAGTCTCGATTTCCCCGCCTCCTCTTAGAGTGATGGCAGGTTGCATTCCTTTTCTGAGCAAAAGCAGAAGTGCCCTTCCTTTCTCTTTGCCTCTGCCATCTCTTCCTCCAGAGGGAAAAAACCACCAACTCGGCACCATTCATTTCCCTTGTTTGCGAGGAAGAAACTTAGTTTTGTCATGAAGACCCCACAACAGCTCCATGGTGAAACTAGGTTTTTCCCTCATAATTGAGGGAAATGGCAGTTTTGTTGCTGGATGAGAAGGGGACAACAGAGGCAAAGAGAATAGAAGAACAGCAGGAAACTGAGGCGCTTCTTCTCTGCCACTTCCCTCTTCCTCTAGAACAGCCAATCTAATGTTTAATTTCCATTTGTATTTTTAACATCGTATGACAATAAAATACATTTCCAAGATTTTTGTCATTTATGATTAACAATATGCAAATATGTGCAAGAATTCAAAAATGGTATAACACTAATAAAATAACTACTTAACATTTTAAGGCAAACCCTTAAAATCAAGTCTGGGATTTATTTATTTATTTGGTCGTGTCAGGAGCAACTTGAGAAACTGCAAGTCACTTCTGGCGCGAGAGAATTGGCCGCCTGCAAGGATGTTGCCCAGGGGATGCCCGGATGTTTTGATGTTTTTACCATCCTTGTGGGAGGCTTCTCTCATGTCCCCACATGAGGAGCTGGAGCTAATAGAGGGAGCTCATCCGCACTCTCCCCGGATTCGAACCTGCAACCTGTTGATCTTCAGTCCTGCCAGCACAGGGATGATCTGGATGTATTGATAGAAAAAGAAGCTGTGAATAGTCCTTCATGTGCCAACCTCATCCCTTTTCTGGGACAGCAGTACTTTCCCATTAAGTAGTTCTGATTCTTCTGTGTTTGAACTGGACTCATTGTCTTACTGAAAGAGATTTCAGCCAGGTTTCTTACCTGGGTCTTCACAGAAGGAATTGTCCTAATGAGAAGAGCCAATGCAAGTGAGAAAAAGGCTTAATTGCCCAAATTCTAATTATGTGAATGATACACAAGCTCCATTCTCCAGGATAGGGAGTTCATTAAACATGTGAGACAGCATGTGGGAATCATTTAATAAAATTAACAAGCTTGTGCTTTTATTGTGTACAACAGAACAGAATCCAAGGAACTGTTTTCGACTTTGTCACCCAGCAAGCATTTGACATACTAATCATGCTGCTCATCTGCCTCAATATGGTGACCATGATGGTTGAAACGGACACACAGAGCAAGCAGATGGAAGAGATCCTCTATTGGATCAACCTTGTCTTCGTTATCTTTTTCACTTGCGAGTGTGTACTGAAAATGTTTGCCTTGCGTCACTACTACTTCACCATTGGCTGGAATATTTTTGATTTTGTGGTTGTGATTCTCTCCATTGTTGGTAAGTATGGGTATTTTTTCATTATCATTATGGTACCAATCAAGTGGACCCTTGGTTTAGTTCCAAGGGCACCCATGGATATCGAAATCTATGGATGGTCTAATCATATTTATTTGCAATGGTGTAGGGAAAGGGTGTTCCTTTGTATAAAATAACAAAATCAAGGTTTCCTTTTTGGATATTCTAAAAATATTTTTAAGCTGTGGGTGGTGGAATCCATGGGTACAGCAGCTGTGGATATGGAGGGACATCTGTACAATGTTTGACTTAGGATAAGGTTTTTAGTGTTGTTTGTCCCAGATCTAGAAACCCAGGAACCCAGGAGTTTCTCAACCAAGTGTATAAAATGCAGGTCCTGCATCAGTTTCAGCTCTTGTTTATTACATACCCAGGCCCTTGAGGAAGACCTTTTGGTAACATAACCACTGTTTGACAGCTGAGAAGGTAAAATGTTAAATGGTCTAAAGCAGCCCTGCACAACATATGGCCTGCAGGCTGCATGCAGCCCCTCAAAGGATTTTTGGCGACCCAAAGAGACTACCACTTTCAATGGTTCTCCTGTCTCAGCAACATTTATCCTCTAGCCCATAAGAACACATCTCTGCACCCACTTCATCCCACAGTAAGCTCCAGAATAGCAAGGGTCCCCCTCCCACCACCCCACTGTGCTGCAAGAGGTTCCTGTCGCCTCCTGGGCTCTTGCATATTGACTTGGTGCTCTCAGCCTGGCTGGGGAAACTCTCCTTGCCCAGTGGCGTGGACTCCCCGACCCAGGCCACACTTTGGTCAAGAAGGAGGGCCCTACTCATCACCTCAGCCATGACACCTGCTTTCCAGATGAGCCCCATGGATGGAAGGCCCGTGTGCCTGCCGCTCAGACCAGCAAGCCCCAAAGAGAGACAGGTGGCCGGGTGGAGACTGAGAGCAGAGAGAGCCACAGTAGACATGGAGCATGGGAGCTGTAAAAAGCCGGAGAGGGATCAGCCACATCTGCATGTAGGGAGGGAGCTAGTAGGGAAACAGGTGCAGAAACACTTTCACATATGACAGAGAACGTAGGAGGGGGCTGATCCAAAATTCAGCCCCTTGGATCGGCCCCGAGATTAAATGTTTATGTAGAACTGCCCCAGGATGTTTCTAGGACTTCTATGAGTGCATCTATACTGTAGAATGAATGCAGTTTTACACCATTTTAGCTTCCCTTACCCAACTTACCAGTTTTGCAAGGTCTTTTGCCATTTCTGCCAAAGAGTGCTGGAGCCTCACCAAACTATAACCTTTTTATTATTATTATGTATGTTTATGTTTATTTATACCCCACCTTTTCTCTCCATATGGCTCAATGATTTCTCTCCAAATTATTGAGCCATGACCATTCAAGTGGGTTCAAACTGCATTAATTCTACACTGTAGATATACACTTTCCCCCATATGATCCAACCTACACATTATGATTTTTTTTTTGTACATGCCCTCTCTGTATCAGATAAAATGGATGATTGTGTAAGTGAAGTCTTTTCAGTAGAGGCACAATGTTTGTGAAAAACCCACCTGAGAGATATTACCCTTTTCCTTTTTTATTCTCTTTGGGCTAATTAACCAATAGAGGTGGGTTGTTTTTTTTTAGCTTTGTAACTTCCAATACTGTCCTGATTTCCTGTAGCTGAGCATGGAGATTTTCCATCAGCTCACAGGTTGATGCCAAATTTTATCATGTTGCTTAGCACATGCTTCATCATTTTGTATTAGATTTTAGTGATATTTGTGACCTTGTCGACTGCAGAATGGAAAAGCAAAGTATGTACTTTGTTGCCGTTATTTAGATTATGCATGTGTGGGTCCTACATCTAGTTTTTCCCTTTCTTTAAAAAAGTATGCTCTTGATTGTATTGTATTGTTTCTCTCAGTCCCACTTTTGCTGTATTCTTTTGGTGAAAGGGTATCAGATATTTGAGTAAAATTGTAACACTGTGTTTTTTTCTCCTTCCCCAATCTTATTTAAGGTATGTTCTTGGCTGAAATTATAGAAAAATACTTTGTGTCACCTACTCTCTTCAGAGTTATCCGCCTGGCCCGTATTGGCCGTATCCTGCGCCTGATCAAAGGAGCCAAAGGGATCCGCACCCTGCTTTTTGCCTTAATGATGTCTTTGCCTGCCTTGTTCAACATTGGCCTCCTGCTCTTCCTAGTTATGTTCATCTTTTCCATCTTTGGGATGTCAAACTTTGCTTATGTCAAACATGAGGCTGGCATTGATGACATGTTCAACTTTGAGACCTTTGGCAACAGTATGATTTGCTTGTTCCAGATCACTACCTCAGCCGGGTGGGATGGTTTACTCTTGCCCATTCTTAATGGGCCTCCGGACTGTGATCCGGACAAAGAGCATCCTGGGAGTGGCTTCACAGGTGACTGTGGGAACCCCTCAGTGGGGATCTTTTTCTTTGTTAGCTACATCATAATCTCCTTTCTGATTGTGGTAAATATGTACATTGCCATCATTTTAGAGAACTTCAGTGTGGCAACAGAGGAGAGTGCCGATCCACTGAGCGAAGATGACTTTGAGACCTTCTATGAGATCTGGGAGAAATTTGACCCCGATGCCACACAGTTCATTGAATACTGCAAGCTGGCAGACTTTGCAGATGCTCTGGAGCATCCGCTACGTGTCCCTAAGCCAAACACCATTGAACTCATTGCCATGGACCTGCCAATGGTGAGTGGGGACCGGATCCACTGCTTGGACATCCTGTTTGCCTTCACCAAACGCGTCTTGGGTGATAGTGGTGAGCTAGACATCCTGAGGCAGCAGATGGAAGAGAGGTTTGTGGCTTCTAATCCTTCCAAAGTGTCTTATGAGCCGATCACAACCACGCTACGGCGCAAGCAAGAAGAGGTGTCTGCGTTGGTCATCCAGAGAGCGTACCGGGCCCGCTTAGTAAGGAGGGGCTTTATTTACCGAAAAAATGTATCCAATAAGATGGAAAATGGAGGGACAAACAGAGAGAAAAAAGAAGGCACCCCATCTACTGCATCCCTTCCATCTTATGACAGCGTAACGAAGCCTGAGAAAGAGAAACAGCGAGCTGAAGAAGGGAGACGGGAAAGAGCAAGAAGGCAAAAAGACACAAGGGAATCCAAATATTGAGATGATCAATAACACTAATAATAATAATAATAACTCTAGAAAACTTGTGAGCAGAAAAGATTGTTTACAAACTTCCTGACAAAATATATATCAATAGCGAACAGCTGTGGAGACACTTTATCTGAAGATCTTATACCAAACATAGTCTGCTTACTGTGTGACCATGTTGCATCTCAAAGCAGTGATCTACCACCTGTTTAACAGACCCATCTAGACAAATATATTTAAACAAAAAAAACAACAGGAAACAATGCAAAGGCGGGGGGATAAAAGGATTTTATACTGTTTGGGCAGGTGGATACTGCATGTTCCACATCAGTCAATGCAACTTAGGACAAACAAGCAAAATAAAACACACAGACACACACACTTAAGGGGAAAAATCTGCTGCTTTAGGATCCATATATTTTTCCCAAAGGCAGCCAAAATGGATTTTATTTTTTCTCATTTTATTGAAAGAAAACCCAGGGAAAAAATAATCACATTCAAGGGTTTGTTTCTTCATGCAAAACTAGATTTTCGTACTTGACATTTAGTTGAAGCTGCAAAAAAACAAAAAAAATTAGAACAAGGAGGAAAAAAAGTCGAGCAACAACAAAAAGCTGAAATGAAACAACACATATTTAGCCCATGTCATTTAATCGTCATAGTTTCTTTGGTATTTATTATCTGCATACTTCTTTATTATATGGGCTTCACCATGGTTTGAGAGATGGGGGTAATCAGGTGTTTTCAGCCTGCAAAACTCGCTCAGGCTGATTCCAAAAATAAAATAAAATAAAATTGTGCTCGTTTCAATGCATAGAAATGATTTGCATGATGGCATGCTGTGATCAGGAATCATGCATGAGGAATCATAAAACCACAAGACACTCAATATGCTGTCCAGGCTGTGTGTTAAGCCATATGTTTGAGGCACTCCACTGACTACGGCACACTGTATTTGGGAAGTTGCTCTGAGCTATAACTATGCCCTTCACCAAGTTACCAGTTTTTTAATCAATCCAGGCACCCTCCCATTGGAGGGAGAGAGGGAAAAGTGAAACCAGGACATGAAAACATGTTTGTGTGTATACTCAGTAACTTTCATGCAGCCATATTTTTTGCGTTTTTTTAAAAGAAACACACACAAAAACAACAAAAAAACAACTCTATTTTGGTGAGAAGACCATTCAAGAATGGTTTCTTATACAATGTCACTTTCAGAGAAAAATGGTAGGGCTTTAAGTAAACCCACCTAGTAGTTTTGTATCCTGCAACATTTACAATTACTCTTTCTCCTCTGTTTTGCAGCATAGACTCTTTATTTTATTAGAAAGAAGCGTATTAGGAGACAGCACGTTATCTGTCAAAGGTGCAATTTTGAGTAGTTCCATATAGCAATCTTTTCCGTTGCAGAGAAGTAGGTAGCGGGGTGTTCACAGCATTATGTGCCATAATTACATGTAAACAATTGCATTCTTTGAGAGTGTCATAATGTGCAAAAGGTAATAAGGCACAAAGTTGATGTATAGAAAAGTGGGCTCTACCTAGTGCTCTTCTATTGATGTCCTACCACTTACATTCTGATGCTGCACAGTTTTATTTGCTTCTCTTCTAGCTGATTTTTTTTTCCTAAGGAAAGCTAACAAAAAAAACCCCAAGGTTCCCAATCCGAACCTCTTACTTTTGATGAGCAAAGTAGCAGTGTGACATGGGTGCAGCGCTGGGAGAAAACGCATCATATATGACGTGTGCCTTCACCAACTTCGCATTTCACCCCACACCTGTTGTATAGTAATAATAATTTTAACTGTCCTGCAAATTCAGGTAGGGATGAAGAGCTACCTCTCGACTATTCTTATCTCTAAATTGATGGGAGTCTCATCCGGGGCTGGGTGGAGGAATGACGTTTTGTGTTTCTAAGTTCGCACCTGGGCATCTTTCAATATTTTGAAATATTCTATTATGTTACTTTTCACTAAGTCGATCATCACCAATAATCCAATTGTTTTAAGGGCACAGGTTCAGGGAACAGCCCTTGCTGATGGGTCAAAGGTTGCGTTGCACTCTCACAAAAGACTGTGTTCCATCATGCAGCTTAAAAAGAAGGCACAGGGGGTGCTGCTAATGGTTTCTAGAAATTGGCAGATAACGCTAAATATTTAGGACCTACTGAAAGGCAACAAGCTGATTGAATGTGGACCAAATCAATTTTATCTATAAAAGGGCAAAAAAACGGTTTAAAAATAACCACTCAAAATATTCCAAAAGCAAAACAAAACAAAGATAACAATGCCTTTTAGATAATGGGGAGAGGCTTTAATCTATAGAATCCCGCAACCTAGATGCCTCCTACGAGGGTCGTGTAAGCCATTTGATAGACATCTGTGCCAAGTTGGACTAGTAGCTACCATGACATCAGTGGGAAAAATCTACTGTACCAGATACCACAAGGAACAAGATATTTCTATCCAGCTAGACTTACCCCACTTGCTCCTACAAAGTGTATAATACGAAAATAAAAATTACATGCATATGTACAGGCAACATTGTAAACAGCACAACAACAACAAAAGCTGAAAAGTGTGGTTGAACTTTTTAAAAGAATACTATAAATACTGTAATATATCATTTTATTTTATTGGCATGTCTTTTTGTAAATAACAAAGGACTACAGAAAATTAAATAGAATGGCTTCTGGCTTATGCCACTGTCCATGTTTAATTTTATATCTCTCTATATATATAATACATTTATCTCTTTCTTTTTTTTCACTTTTGAGATTATGTCAATTTATGTGCATCCCCCACAGAGGAAAAAACTCCTCCCAGACAGACACAAAGCAAAGCTTTATTGCAAAATTATCTTTACAACAACAGATATATTTAGACTACTTTGGTTCTGAGGTGCAATATATTTTGACCACTTCTATGCAAGATTTGGCTAAATGTCATAACTGTTCTTTAGCTGGACTACTGTTCCATATGAAAAGCTTGGTACATGTAGTGTTTGTGCTGTCAAATTTTATTAAGCAATTTTTAGTAAAACTGCCCTGCAATCTATATTTACCTTGGGTCATTATTTAGTGATACTTGAATTTTCTTACATTACACTAGCTTTGCTTAAGAATAAAAGTTATTAACAAACAGCTTCAAAGATGTGGGCTATGTCCAACTATAAAATGAATAATTCAACTTTTTTCTAGTCTCTGCACTATATTTCTTATATTGTTCATGTTTGTTTTAAAGCAGTTTTTTCCATCAACCAGACTTTACAGATGTTGGAGGACTCTCTCTGTATTTGCATCAGCATTCATTACAGATGAGAATGCTAAGGAAACATGGTCCAAAATGGAAAAAAAAATATGATGGCAGATTTATTTTCTAAAATGTGACATGAATATATATATAAAAAATTAAAGTTACCAATGAAGATTTTTTTTTAGTTTAGCAAAAATGGCCGATGCTTTTTTTAAAAGGTCAAAATAGAAAGTCAGAAAAATCTCAAAAATTGAGACCAGTTAGATATGAAATGTTTAATTGTACTTGTTTAATTTCCATTCTGCTGCTAAGTGATAGGAGGTAGGATTTGGGCAGTTTGCTGAAATGCATAGATGAGAATATTTTAATTACTTCTTGTTTAGATATCCATTTGCTTTATTTGGACGGGTAGAAATAAGAAAAGAAACAACCTAACTTCTGGACTTTCTAGCAAAATGGGCAATGGAGATTCTTAATGCCCAGCAAAGAATGGAAATTTGCTTTGTGGGGAAATCTTGATGGAAGATTTTCCATCAAGAAGCTCTAAGCAGATAAGCTCTTGTTCTTCATGCCACTTGATATCAACCTGAAGGCAGAGCTTGTAACTTTTCATGAACTCAGGTCGCCCTCTGATCCTTGCTCCCCAGTGAAACTGCGAAGGCCCTGCTCAGGCATCACAGGCTGCAACTAAATACTAGAAACGCCGCAGCAGACTTTGAAAGCAAACATAATTCCAACAGTGAATTTTTCATGCAACTATAATAATGATAAGACTGGTCAGATAGACTAGGGGCAAGTTCTACATGTGAAATGTTACATGTGTTGAATATATAGGATGCACAGTGGTTGGAGAGATGCAAATCCAGTGTTGTTATGAAGATGCCAATAATTCAAGTTTTCCTCACCCCACAGAAAATGTTGGCATGTGGAAATTTTGAGTAAAATCAAACATTGACAAGGCAAACAAAAATGAATTTCATATGAAGATGAGAGATGTCTGAAATGTTAAGAGTTAGTCTTTTGTGAGGCATAATTCTGTTTCTATGGTTATCAGTCAAATGTAATTGGAGTCTGTGCTGCTGGGGACTTCTCTTGTCAGGTTTGGCTTTTTGAAGGGATTAGAATAGTAATTATATCAGCAAAATATATGCCACTCCAGACTGAAATGCATACAGTTCTACCAGTGTAAACCAGTATGTAAAGCAATCCATGGGTTATCAATTTCGCAATGGGTTTTTTATGAACAGAGAGGGCAGAAAATGCCTTCTTTCCTGTAGGAAATTGCATTTATTTTTTTAACCCTGCTTTTACGTTTGTTGTGTAAAAGAGCAACTATGATGTAGCACTAATTTCACCTTTAATTCAGTCTTCCGGTCTAGACTTTCTGATAAAAAGGAAATGCCGCGGGATTGTCAACTCAATCAGATAGTCATCTTGAGTTTTCATAGGCCTCTTTTGATTTGACTCTGTCCCATTCACCACTGTGGAAGGTTTGTATATTATCCTAAGGAGAGGGGCATAATTCAGTGATGGTGTGCATGTTTTGCATGTTGGTTCGATCCCTGGCACCTCTAGATAGATAACAGGTGATGAAATAAACCTTCTCTACCTGAAGATGTGGAAAATAGATGCCAATAAATAGCACTGAGCGGAATGGAGAATTGGTTGGAAGTGATGGTGAATGGTTCTCCGTGTTGTTCGATGGTTTAGTGGCTCAGCTTCATTGCTATAGGAAACCACACATTTGAAAATGTCCATAGTCGTCACAGGCCAAAGAAACTTAATTTGAATGTTTCCAATTCTGGTGTACAAAGGAAAGCAGGCTTTATATTTCCTTTGTTTCATATATTAACAAAAAGGTTTCTATAGAGAGGTTAACTTTTAAGGGTTTTATTAAAGAGGTAGTTTAGTGAAGGAAATCAGACTTGCCAGGTTGATAACTTTTATGTAGTAGTTCTGCCAAATAGATGGTTTTGGCAGTTAACCAGCAAACAATGCCACTCATGTATGATTGTCATAGGTTGCACTAATATATTGGTGGATTATAGAGGGGGAAAGGAAGAAACCTCAATGATTTGTTTCAAGATGCAAAAAGGCTGCTAAGCATTGATTTATTGCTATCCTACAATTATAATAATTTTAAAAAACTTTATTTATACCCCGCCACCATCTCCCCAAGGGGACTCGGGGCGGCTTACATGAGGCCAAACCCAGCAATACAAACCTTGATTATCGCTATCTTTCAAAATTTGAGAGAGGAAAGACAAGAACTAAGTAGTCTGAATGCTAGCCTTGGAAAAATAAAAGGGGGGCAAGAAGTTTAATTTTTTAAAAAACTGTTACGAAATTCCCTGTCATACAGGGTAGATTCAGGTATAATGAACTGGACCAATTTGTGGTCCAGTGAAAGTATGTTGTGGAACTGAGTTTTTGTTGTTCAAATATGGTTGTCTTTGACAGCCAACAGAAGGCAAATGAGCCATTGGTTACCTATTGTCGCAAAATAAAAATGTGACCTAAATGGAAATGAGAAAAAACATTATACTCCATACTGTAACATGTTTTCAGCATGCGCTTCTAATGTCTGAAAAAAATGAGGTGTGTGTTCACTATGTTTGGAGGCACTTATCTCCCCTTCAGATTTTACAATGTTGAAATAATACTAAAGCTTGTAAAGAAAGGCCTGAACGTTCACATCTATGTCTTGAAAAAATAGCGCTGTCTTTGCAAGTGTGGGGATCTTAAAATGAAGGGTTCAAATGACAGTGATTCACGTGTGGTGCCAGGGGAACCATAGCTGGAAGCACTGAATTTTCTGTCCATGGCCATGCTCATAATTTCAGTTTCAAGGCTATGCACCAGAATGAAAATGTCCTTACCTGGTATTGCAAGGGAGCTGTTCCCATCAAGTTCCCCATTGGAACCTGAGCCGTCTTTTGAATGGGATATATATGAAATAAGTAACTTTGCAAGCACCATGTGCTCTTTGTCCTATCCCTCTGTGGCCGTCTTCTGTATCTTGGAAACTGTTCTCTCCAGAAACAGTATCTTCTAGGGCTTTAGCTGCACATAGGTCAGTGGATGCCCAGACTTCAGCTTACAGCAGTTCTGAAACCATCCACTGGAAGGCAGTGAGATGCCTATAAGCATTGCACTTTAAATTCTTTCTTCTATCAGCTTTCTATGTTCTCTTTTACAAACCTTTCCATTTAAAGGGCTGAGGGTGACACACCTTTGTTACATGTATTAGCTTTGCCTAGGGACACACACACATTTCCCCCCTTTGCAGGCCCGGCAAAAGAGGAAAGCTTCTTATTTGATGCATTTCCTCTGTGGAAATCACCTCTGTTAAAAAGAAAAACACCCATCTTCCATTTTCTACCTGTTGAAAGTCCAGCAAAGATCTTGGTTAACATTTTTCCTATATGGAGATCACTTCTGTGAGAGGGAAAAACTGACATTTTCTACAGTGCTTCATTGCTTACCATTTCCAAGCTGGAAGGGAATCTTGGGGAAGAGCGGGTAACTGAGTGCTCAAGCACACTCAGATTCGGTGCTTTGAACTGGGTTACCTGAGTCCACACTGCCATATAATCCAGTTCAATGTGGATTTTATACAGTTTTGTGGAAGGGGCCTATGTTACATTAAGTTTGTCTTTATAGCTCTTAACTTTTAATTACAATAGTTCAATATTACTATTAAGTCCATGCACTGTTTATGGTATAGTATGAGATATAGGATGAGTTAGACCTATTTTTAATCTCGCAAGCAACCAGAAACTACATTTATCCCTGTATTATGATCTGGTCATCGACCGTAATAAAGTTTACTTACATTTATCCAGCATCTATCAGTCCAAATGGATGCAAGTTAACTGATAGTCTGTATATAAGGCTTTTGGTGGCTGGAGTTTTTATTTCTTACTTCTGTGGTAGCTATTCTGCAGCCAATGGACTGAAATTTGCTCAGAGAGACCGGGAGACAAGGCTCATGTAATACTGGGAGAGAGGGACACTGAGTATAAATTGCAAACCAACTCTATGATATTTTGTTGGACAGCCTTACCAGTGATCAGTGCATTCGAAGGACCTTGCAACCTTTGTATTAACAGCAAAATTGATGCTTGGAAAGTGACACTCAGCCTGGCTCCTCTACAGGCTTTGCCACCATAAACAATAAATGGTCTCCATATAGGAAAATACCAAGAGAGAAGCATCTCTGTGAGGGTAAAAAGGACCACTACCATTAAGTGATCCTGCCCTACCCCAAATTCAAAGCAGAAATCTAAGTCTCTCCAGTATAAGAGATTCTCCTGTCAAACCAGTTTGAGATTTTGTGAGGTAGAAGGATTGGACATGAAAAAGTATTTACAAAATCTCCAGATCATTCTAGGAATTGCTTAACACTGGGTGTCACATTAAATACACACATCCAAATTTTACCCTATGTTGCTGCATGTTGCATTTGTAGAGAGAGGTATGTCCCTGTGAGAGAGGGAGGAAGACAAATTAGGGAAGTGTGTTTTCTCAAGGAGAACGTGGAATTCCAGGCATTGCCTGAATAGTGCAAAATGACTTTGGTGATTTCTGTTTGCAGTTCCACCATTGTGTGCGTGTGAAGGGAGAAACCAGGGCAGGAGGGTGGGGGGAGAGGGGGGAGAGGGAGAGAAAGACTTTTAGCAAGTCACCTGACCTCTCTATGTGCCTCAGTTTTACCCATCTGTAAAACGGGTAATTACCTACCTCACAGGGGTGTTGTGAGGCTTAATTTAATGTCAGTTCAAATGCTTTTCTGAGGTTCATAACTGAAAGTGCTCTCCTAGATGTGCACAGGTCAGAACCATGGACTAAAGGGGAAGCGTATCGTGATGGTGCCATTGATGCCAAAATTTAAGAAAGTCACTGCTACCGCTTTTTTTAAATAAAAAAACAACCGATATCAGGGCAAACATTTTATTTTTTTGTTGTTGCAATTTGCTTGTGTCCCCTCTTGAAATATATGTTTGTTTCCTGCCCTTTTCAACCCCAACCTCTATATTTTGTTCTGTTTTAAGATGACAACAACAAAAATGGGAACAGAGGAATTTGGGAGAAGGGAGGGGAGTGAGAATGTGTGTTCAAAAAAAACAAAGCCTACTTCTACAACAAAAACGTTGGATTGAAAGATTAACGTCTGACTTCTTTGATTTCCTTTGTACTGTACATCTTTTTACTTTGAAATTTGCAATAAAAAGTTATGTCCATCTTGTTTTAACCTTTTCTCTTGGATTAAATGTCATTCTACCCCCGTCCCCAATGTCAATGTTGATACCATATCTACCCTTTTCCTTCCTATTGTCTAGGCACAGTCTTCCCAATGGTGGATTGGGATGAACTGTAGTACAGGCAGTCCCCAAGTTACGAACAAGATAGGTTCTGTAGGTTTGTTCTTAAGATGCATGGGTATGTAAATCAGAGCAGGTACATTTTTAAGTGCAACTCCAGCCAAATATATCTGTATATTAGCTTTGGATAGCATAAGGGAGTTAACACCTCTGTGAGGGTTCTTTTTCTGTCTGTGTCCCTGTTCAGAAGATTTCACCTTTCTGTCCCTGTGATAATTGGATTTTGGAAAAATTGGCTTGTTGTGGAAACAAGGATTAGCAATAAAGCATCAGTGGAGACACCTTTTCCCCATGATAACTCTTCCAGGAGTAAATTTCCCAGGGTTGCTTTCTCTCACTCCCTGTTGCCTCACCCCATTCTTAACTGTGAGTCATGTGTATGTCAGATGTTTGTAACTCAGAGACTACCTGTACCCTGCACCCCACCCCAGTAGGCTAGTCCACCCAACATGCATGACACAGGGATGCTTACAAAGGCCCCTGCCAGTGTAATGGTAATAATCTAAATAAGTTATTCTAGGAGCAAGTTGGCAGCAGTTTTGAAATGGCCTTTGATCAACTGGATCCAAATCCCACTTATCCACGCCCCCCCACCTTAAAAAAAACAGCAGGCTTCTAGACTGCATCTAACCCAGTGGTTCTCAACCTGTGTGTCTCCAGGTGTTTTGGCCTGCAACTCTCATAAATCCCAGCCAGTTTGCCGGCTGTTAGGATTTCTGGGAGTTGAAGGCCAAAATATCTGGGGACCCACAGGTTGAGAACTACCAATCTAAATGGACCATATAATGCAGCTTGAAGCTAGCTCAAGGTCATAATGTCCACAAAACGTATATCTACAATGTGTGCTGAAGCTCTCATTAATCCAGAAGCACTGTCTAAAAAAAAAATGTGGAGTGCTTGTCAGGACAGCTCAAACACCAACACACTTTACAAAACCTGGAAACACGGGTGGAAGGTAAACAAGCACCCCCTAGGGGGGAGGGGGACCACATAATTCCCATGGGGTATCATGCTTTCCACTCCTTTGTTCTCATTTCCTGTGTTCTGCCAAGTCCAGCATTGATCCCAAATGGACATGGTGATGTGCCTCAGTGCATCTCAGCAGACTGGGTTTGATTCCGATCCGCAATCAATGGATACCGTGGTCACCATCCCAGCCTCAACCCAGTTCCTGGGATGACTGTTTAGGGGCTGCACAGCAAAACTGGTTCATTTACATCCAATCTGCATTGTAGTGTCTATGTAGAAGCAGCCCAAGATTCTTGATAGATCCCAAACCAAATCAGGTTTTGTTTTGGGTAGAGGAGGGGTTTGTTTGTTTGTTTGTTTTTTGTTTCACTACTTACATTGTCCTGAGAGCCTGGGCTACATGTCCATATAGTACAGTGGTTCTCAACCTGTGGGTCCTCAGATGTTTTGACCTACAACTCCCAGAAATCCCAGCCAGTTTACCAGATATTAGGATTTTTGGGAGTTGAAGGCCAAAACATCTGGAGACAAACAGGTTGAGAACCACTGATATAGTATATGTGAAATATAATGACTGACAACCTGTTGGTTACTCCCAACTACAATAGATTCATTCAATCAATTGTTAAATTGAGAATCTGAGCTGGGAATAATCAATGTAACAATGCAAGTATATTGTGTTTTATATTACAAAAAAAATGTTAAATGTAGGCAAGTCCTATTGGTTTAATGGATCTACTTTAGCCAAGACTAGCAATCGTTAGATCAATATTAACAAATAAATCAAAATGGTGTACAGTACAACCCTTGTATTCGTTCCTTGACTCCATGTGGATCTGCAACCCCACATGGAGAATTTATTCACCAAATGTTTTTACAAGCCCATTCCAAACAGGTCAAAGAGCCATGATCAAAGTGAAAGTATGAAACCACATTCCTTCTATGTGGACTGGTGAACTTTCATTGTCTTTGTTAACTCTGGATTTCATCTGCTACAACCACCATCAGGACCTGCTGATTCATGGAAATATGTCTTATACCAACCAAACCGACTACTGTCAGAGCTAATGTGCTCATCTTGACCACTAACACTCAACACGGTCTAGATAATTATTCTAATTGATCATTTGGTTAAGCACTTCTTGTGCCTGTCCATATCCTGAGCCTATATGTGTATGAATTCTCCATTATATCTCTTTCTGTGATTTGTATTTGTTCCTGAAACTTGCATAAGTGCTTTTTTTAAAAGCCCTGTTCAAAGTTAAACTGGAGCTAACAATTTAATGGAGTTGTTTGTAAACTGCTAAGACATTAATCTCTACATATTACTCACAAATGATTCCTTTCGGCTTTTTTCTTTCAGTCTGTCATGTACTGCAAAAGCTGAAAATATTATTCCAAAATTATTTTGATTAATTTAATCTGTATCCCACCAATGGCACCCAAGGCAGTTCATAACATAGTTGAGAATTAATTATGGCTAAATGAATATATAAATGAGCCATCTTATTAGTGCTAGTTATAATAATATAGCTCATTTATTTTTTACATTAGAAGGGGTTCAATGTGTAGTAGTAGTAGTAGTAGTAGCAGTAGTAGTATTTGTAAAAATTTAACCTTTGCAAATGTAATTATTTGCAGATTTATTTATATTTGATTAATATAACCCTCACATATTCTCTCTAGAAATCTCCAGATCTACCAAAGTGCCTACAGATTCTTAGAGAAGTGTCCCCTCAGATTTAAATAATGCAGTTTTTATTCACAATTTTCCTCTTTATATAAACCTGGACAACCTGCTGTAGATCTTTCTCTGTACCCCTCTGTATTACTTTTTCTGCCAGTTCTTTTCTATCTCTTTTGTGATATTTTTGGTGTTTAGTATATTAGAGAAAATTGCTAGTAAAAATTCTATATTGATGAACTAGTTCGTCATTAATGAACTAGATGATATTAGACAAATTGAAACTTAATTCAGACAAGACCGTGGTGCTCCTGGTCAGTTGGAAGGCAGATCAGGAAATAGGAATCTGGCTTGTACTGGATGGGGTCACACTCCCCCTGAAGACACAGGTCCGCAGTTTGGGGGGTCCTCCTGGACTCGGAGCTGAACCTGAAGTTCTGGTGTCTGGTGGCCAGGAGGACCTTTGCACAATTAAAACTTGTGCGCCATCTGCATCCATTCCTTGAGAAGACAGATCTGGCCACGGTAGTACATGCCTTAGTTACAGTCCATCTGGATTACTATAACACGCTCTATGTGGGGCTGCCTCTGAAGAGAGGTCTGAAACTTCAGCTGGTCCAAAAAGCTGCAGCCAGGTTGCTCACTGGGGCTGGCTACAGGGAGCAGCCAACCCCCCTGTTGAAGCAGCTCCACTGGCTGCCAGTCTGTTTCCAGGCACAATTCGAAGAGCTTGTTATGACCTTTAAAGCCCTAGACAGCTCAGGTCCAGGCTGTTTGGCTGACTGCATCCCCTTGTATGGGCCTGCCAGGGCCTTGAGATCATCAGATGAGGCCCTTCTCTCGATCTCACCTCCATCTCAAGCTCGGTTGGTGGGAACAAGAGAGCGGGCCTTCCTTCTCAGTGGCTGCTGCCCCTCAACTCTGAAACTCCCTTCTTCCCAGGGAAGCCAGAATGGCCCCCTCCCTGCTATCCTTCCTGTGGAAGACTAAAACCTTTCTATTCAGACAGGCTTTTAAAGGAGGTTTTTAAAACTGAGCCAGGGGATCATGTGTTTTATGTAATTTAATAGATTTGTTTAATGATTTTATTGCTTTTGTATTTCTATGTTTAATTCTATTTTAATATTTATGAGTGTTGGTTTTAATTTACCAATTGTAGTTTTTTTTTTTAGTTAGCCACTTTGAGTCTCCTTTGGTAGAGAAAAAGTGGGGTGATAACAACAACAACAACAACATATTTTTAAAGCAGCACTAATTTAAAACAGTTTTAAAGCATTCAAGGCATTGCTGTAAGGATAAAAGTAAAGCATTCCTATTATAAGGACCTTCTGGAACAATCAGGTAATCACCAAAAACCTGTTTGTCTGTTGATGGAAAGACAGCAGAGAGAAGGCTGGCATGGACAGGATGGCAGTTCAACTGGTACTTTGATGGGGTAATCACCCTCCTCCAATTTCAAAGGTTAGCAAACATGTAGCTCTTCAGGTATTTTCTTGGCTTTTTACCAGGATTTTTTCATCCAGCGCAACCACCACATTTGTTGTACCTCTTGTTTTCTGCTAGACTCTCGTTGTTATTGAAATGTCTGGGAAATTTCAACAAAAGCTGGAGGATGAGACAATGTCAGCAATGGTGCAATAGTTCCCAACAGCCCATCACATACATGTCTTCACCATATATTCCAGTGACTGTAGTGGGAACAAAAATAGGGATCCTTCAGGGCCCTTCCACACAACCCTATATCCCAGAATATCTAGGTAAAAAACCACACATTATCTGAGTATGGACTCAGATAACCCAGTAAAAGCGGATATTGTGGGCTTTTCTGCCTTGATATTCTGGGATATAGGGATGAGTGGAAGGGCCCTCACAGGATCTCAAAAGTCAGGTAGGACTCTATAGTCTTTCAGGCAGACTACTAGATCCTATAAATATGCAAAAGGAATATGGTTGGTGACAACTCATTGTTTTACTCACAGAGAATAACCTGAAGGTGTACTTAAAGGGGCAACGTTTGTGGTATGTTTTCTTCCCACTGCTATAGCAAAAAAAAAAAAAAAACTGGTTTTGGAGTTGTTAAATTGTTTCTGAAACTTGCCTAATTGTATCCACAGTGAATATAGGAAACCTTTCCCAAACTACATTCAGCTTTACCATTTTTTCCAATTTGAATAAAATGTTAATTTCTTATTAAAATTTAAATCAAGAAGCTTCCTGTTTAAGATCTGCCACCATCAATTTCCTAATAGTTGTCACCATCCCTCCAAAAAAGAAATCTAAGCAGCACTGGAGGCAAGCTAAAGACAGGCTTTATCACTTTAACAACAAGCTAACCTTCCCACTCAGTTTTTTTTTTCCTCCACTGAAGTTTGACTGTGATCCAGAGTGGGGAAAGGTACCATTAATTCAAATAAATTAATTGCTTACCAATTGGTGATACTTTAACCAGAACAAATTATGCAGTTTGAAGTTTGAACCAACATGTTACTTATTGTTGGACAGGATTTGTTTGGTACTGGGAACTATATAGGAGATCAGGATGGAGTGGGCATGCCCAAAACCTTTCTCAAATACAGTATAAATGACATAAATATGTCAAATGGGTACCTCAGACTTTAAAGCTTCCTTTCTACATTAAATCAGGTGATACAGTCCCAAACATTAGGGCAATAAACTCACTCCCACTTTGTTACTTCCTCTGAGTCATTTTGGAACAGATGGATGCACTGATACAATAGGATCCAGGCTTCTAACAACACAGATCTCAGTGCCAGCTCTGTAAAGTCAATATGCCCACTCATAATGCTTCTCCCAACCCAAGCCAACAGCTCTTGACGATTACAGGATTTATTGGAGGGTTTTATCAGCCTGATACCTGTTTTTATGGCCCAAAGTTCATATAGAACTAGGGAATGATGCAAGATGGTAACCATGCCCTGACTACACACACAACAATACCGAATGCACTTAGTGTGTCAATGTAAAATTGTCACGAGTACCTTTTTTCCTTTAGCTAAAACTAATGTGGAAATAATGTCTGGCATCAAGGGATTAAAGAAATTGGTAGATTAACAAACTATTGCATAATGGAAACAAAATTACATCATTTTCTAGCACTAACTAGAAAATACACATGACATTCTGCTCCCACATTTGCAAAGGTTAGGGTCACAGGAACCCCATAAAAGTGATAAACCACAAAAAGGCAATTTCTTTTTTATCCTGACAGACCACCTCTCTGGGAATCCCTAGATCCTCCAGCCTAGGCTGTGGTAAAACTTCAACAGAAGCTGAACACAGAGTTGAAGGAATTTTTGGAGTACAGAGATTTCTAGAGATAACATTTTAATCAGATTTGCAAATGTTGAAGCCCAACAGAATTTAAGAAGGAACACAAAATACCAAGTCACTAATATTCTGCAGTAAAAAAAAAACACACACACACACACACACAAAAGTACAGGTGTGCACCAAAGTAAAGTAGTATTCCATTTCACTTATTGTAATGGAAGATATGTGATTGCCTCACTGAAAATAATGTGATAGGATACTCCCCTCTGGACAGACCAGTTTGTGCTCACTCAGGGCCCTTCTGCATTGCCATATAATCCAGAATATCAAAGTAGATAATCTACATCATCTGCTTTGAACAGGATTATCTGCATCTACACTGCTAGATAATCCAGTTCAAAACATAATCTGGATTTTATACAGCTATGTAGAAGGGCCATCAGAAGGGGAAAAATAATTCCCTTTTGTGCACTGAGAATGTCTCATTTTTCTTCCATATGAATAAATCTCTGTCTGATGTGTTATATGCAAATGATGCACTCAGATCAGGAAACTGCTAGCCGGGTTGGCTTCTAAATTCATGACGAAGATTTATCAAGCAGCAGGACCTCAAATATCCCTAGCACTCCTTGGCAGTGCAGTGGAGTGCTGAGTTAATAACTAACCCTATACTGCCTTTTCAAGACATTCCAAATCAACTGTTTGAAGCTGGTAGGGCTGATTCTGTAAAGATGTACAAAAATGTTGTGTACATACTCATAAAGAGAGGACAAGAATATAGTTCCTAGCTATTATTCTGCAGACTACGATTTAGGCTGTATTTTTTTAAACCACAGAATAGCACTTGCTAAGATTCCTCCTTCATATATTTCTATGTGGGTACTGAAATTTCACAAATTCACTAGGAAGTTGAGCAAATGTGAATGTGTTGTCAAAGGCTTTCATGCCCAGAATCACCAGGGCCCTTCCACAGAGCCCTATGTCCCAGAATATCAAGGCAGAAAATCCCACATTATCTGCTTTAAACTGGGTTATCTGAGTCCACACTCAGAAAATGTGGGATTTTCTGCCTTGATATCCTGGGATATACGGTTGTGTAGAAGGGCCCTGAGTCCACACTACCATATATTTCAGTTCAAAGCAGATAATGTGGGATTTTATTCAGCTATGTGGTTGCTGTGATTTTTCCAGGCTGTATGTGTTTGTGTCTGCTTGACTGTGGGAAGCTGGAGAATGACTATTAAGAATATAGCACAAGTACTTTTACAGATGGACTCTAAAAGAGTCAACTACGTTTGCCCAATTTCAGGCACTTTGCTTCCATGCAATTGCTTTTATACAGTTAGCCCACCATATCCACAAATTCTGTATCCACAGATTAAACCATCCATGTCTTGAAATTATTTTTTAATCCCAAAAAGCAAAGGAATATGTCCCCTCACAACTATATGTTTTCCAGGCTCTGACTATTTCATTCTTGGTATTAAAGCCATTGAACTCAGCAGCATCTTTGCTTCCTCCAGGCAATTGGCCAATTACGGCTCTGTTTTTAACAGAGTTTTAAAACATATTGAAGGACTGTAATACCTAGCATCCCACAGCCAGGCCTGAAGGTGTTGGCTGTTGGATTCTAAGAACTATCGTTCAAAAAAGTGACTTTCCCAAACATCTCTATCCAAGAGGCACAAACTTCCCAAAACTTAAGAATTCATTTCACAGCATATCCAAGGATATGAGGACGGACCAGGCTCCAGTTCAAGGGGGCATTTATGTGCTGCAGTTTCAGTTCAGAGAAATTTGCCTTCTCCAGGTCCTTCCAAGTTTCCCGGGTTAAGGAACACCCATCTCCCAAATATTTCCAAGTAGGATCACAGACTTGCTGCCAGAAGTATCTCCAGCTGGATCGGGGAGAAGCCACATGCTCCATGAAGTAGAAGGCACCGCCCTGCAGAAAGGGAAGAACATAATCTACAAGGGAACAGAAAGTCAACCCGCCCCCGAGTAGGGCATTCTAACCTATATCCTATAGTTACTCTGCAGTGTAATTCTCCATCTGCAGTCTTTGGAGCAGCAGTACAACTAAAATACCTCAGTACAGTTGTGCCTCTCAGCCGCTGACTAGCTAAAGATGTACACGGAGCTGTCAGCTGGAAAGGTCTCAAAAAAGACCAAAAACAACTGAACATGGTCTCTCGGGGACTACATAAGATTGAGAATTCATGAAAAAATTATAGAAGAATAAGGGGATGTATTTACACTGCAGAATTAATGCAGGTTGACCAACTGACATCACACAGTGCAATGGAATCATGGAGGTTGTAGTTTTATGCAATCTTCTCTGTCCAATAGTTCTGGTGCTTCACCAAACTATAAATCCCAAGATTCCAGAGCACTGAGTCGTGGCAGTTAACGAGATGTCAAACTCCATAAATCCAACGATGCAGATACGATAGATGCACTTAAGAGTTCTTACAAAAGTCGTACTCTTCTTTCACACAAGCCTCCTTCACAAAAAGAAGAACTTGCAAGGTTTCAGATTTCTCAACCAAGTTTGCATAATTGACAACTTTTAAACCAAGCCCAGTACACTATGTAATTTAAGGAAAATAATGCTCCTCCCCACCCTGAATACTGGAGAAACCTGCTAGTTGAAATTTATGGATGTTTGGTTTGTTTGTTTGTTTTTTCTGTGTCAGGAGCAACTTGAGAAACTGCAAGTCGCTTCTGTTGTGAGATAATTGCCCTGGAGACGCCCAGATGTTTTGAGGTTTTACCATCCTTCTCTCGTGTCCTTGCATGGGGAGCTGGAGCTGACAGAGGGAGCACAACCTGCTCTCCCTGGATTTGAACCGCTGACCTGTTGGTCAGCAGTCCTGACAGCACAAGGGTTTAACTCATTGCAGAACTGGGGGCTCTAGTGAATCTGCTAGTTGAGTGGATCTAAGGACCAGACTAAACAGGGTATTAAATGAATCTTTGCATTTAATTACATTTTGGGCTTTAAAAAAATTGTAAATAGCATCTGCTGGGCTGAGAGTAGCAGCTGCTGTGATGGGGTGGGTGAGTGTTCAATCCTTTCAGCCCTGCGGTGTTCCTGTCAAGGACAGCCCTTCCAAAACAGTCATTTTCATTTGAAATCTTTCAGTGATGTATATTTATCAGCTCAGAGTTTTAGCACAATTCCCCATTTGGTGCAGTATTTCAATGGAGAAGTGGTTGAATTATGACATTGGGAAACGAAGGCTCAAGATCAATTCTGGGTATGTGAATTTTCAAGACGGAAAGTGATGTATGCTTCTCTCGTCCCCACCTCCAACCCAATACTTCCCTTTTAGAACAGTGTTGCTCAACCTTCCTAATGCCGCGACCCCTAAATACTAGGGCTGGGCGGTTTCCTTTCGTAATTTCGTAATTCGTTAAAAATTCTTTATTATTTTTTTTGTTACGAAGCGATAACGAACCATTCAGGAGCATCTAAAAAACGAAACGAATTTTTCAATTCGTTTCGTAATTGCTTCGTATTCATTTCGTATTCGTTTCGAAATCGTTTCGTTATTATTTCCGCATGTCTGGGGCAAGTTTTATAGCTGTTGTTTGTTTAATCAGTGAAAAAAATTATAAATATCACACCAACAGTCAACAACAGAGGGAGAGGGAAGCTTCAGAAGTTCCCCCTGTCCCATATGGAGGTTTTTTAGCGTATTGCGCGGTCGCGTCCGCCATTAACGAATCGATTTGTATTCGTTTCGTATTCGTTTCGTATTGTTTCATAATTTTACGAAATTTCATAAATATCAAACTTTTTTAAAGAAAAATTTCGGAATTCTTTTAAATATCGAAACGCAAAAAACCCCAAAAAACGAATCGAGTTTAGAAACAAATTTTTCCATGGTTGCCCAGCCCTACTAAATACAGTTCCTCATGTTGTGGTGACCCCCAACCATAACATTAATTTCGTTACTACTTCATAACTGTCATTTTGCTCCTGTTATGAATCGGAATGTAAATATCCTGTTTGCAGGATGCGTTTTCATTCACTGGAGCTAATTTGGCACAAATACCTAATATGCCCAAATTTGAATACTGATGGGGTTGATTTTGTCATTTGGGAGTTATAGCTACTGGGATTTACAGTTCACCTACAATCAAAAGCATTCTGAACTCCACCAACAATGGAATTAAACCAAACCTGGCACACAGAACTCCCGTGACCAATAGAAAATACTGGAAGAGTTTGGTGGGCATTGACCTTGAGTTTGGGAGTTGTGGTTCACCTACATCTAGAGAGCACTGAGGACTCAAACAATGATGAATCTGGACCAAACTTGGCACAGATCCTCAATATGCCCAAATGTAAACACTGGTGGAGTTTGGGGAAATGAGACTTGACATTTGGGAATTATAGTTGGTGGGATTTATAGTTCATCTACAATCAAAAGCATTCTGAACTCCACCAACGATAGAATTGAATCACACCTGGCACACAGAACTCCCATGACCAATAGAAAATACTGGAAGAGTTTGGTGGGCATTGACCTTGAGTTTAGGAGTTGTGGTTCACCTACATCTAGAGAGCACTGTGGGCTCAAACAATGATGGATCTGGACCAAACTTGGCACAGATCCTCAATATGCCCAAATGTAAAACTGGTGGAGTTTGGGGAAAATAGACTTGACATTTGGGAATTATAGTTGCTGGGATTTATAGTTCACCTACAATCAAAAGCATTCTGAACTCCACCAACGATAGAATTGGGCCAAACTTCCCACACAGAACCCCCATGAGCAACAGAAAATACTGTGTTTTCTGATGGTCTTAGGTGACCCATCTGGCACCCCCTCACAACGCCCCCAGGGGTCCTGACCCCCAGGTTGAGAAACACTGTTTTAGACCTTCTGAGGGCCCTTCCACACAGCCCTATATCCCAGAAGATCAAGGCAGAAAATCCCACAATATCTGCTTTGAACTGGGTTATCTGAGTTCACACTGCCATATATTCCAGTTCAAAGCAGATATTGTGGGATTTTCTGCCTTGATATTCTGGATATAGGGCTGTGTGGAAGAGGTCTGGGTCTGATCTATCCAGCTTCTGCTTTTTACTCTCTTTAGCAGATCTCCAAAAAGCTGTTTTGAACTCCAACTCCCATTGGTCATGCTGGTATAGAATTGTAGGAATTGTAGCTGCAAGAGTACCTTTTCCAAATGTCCCCAAGGCTTCTGGCTTTGCTTAGAAGGCTGGAAACACTACCCTACATTCATCTAGTATACAAATACATTTTCCATAGCACTGAGCCATAGCAACAGAATGAATGCAGCTTTGAGCTGCCATGGCTCAATACTATGGAAGCATCGGAGTTTGATAGGGCACCAGCATTATATGGTAGAGAAAGCTACAGACCTTCTAAAAATGCAGCTCTAATTATATCATAGCATTGAGCCATGACAGTTAAAAGTGCTATCAAATTCTATTCATTCTGCAATGTAGATAAACCCATTGTGTGCCTAATAGCATAAATCCTTCACGGATTTCAGAAGCAGGAAATCTTTGGCCTGCCAGAGAGAGTTGCTTCCTTCAAAACTATCTGGAAGTCCAAAGGTTCCTAGTAAACGTAAAGGTTTTCCCCTGACATTAAGTCTAGTTGTGTCTGACTCTGGGGATTGGTGCTCATCTCCATTTCTAAGCTGAAGAGCCAGCGTTGTCCATAGACAACTCCAAGATCATGTGGCCAGCATGACTGCTTGGAGCGCATTGCCTTCCTGCCTGAGCGGTACCTATTGATCTATTCACATTTGCATGTTTTTGAACTGCTAGGTTGGCAGAAGCTGGGGCTGACAGCAGAAGCTCACGCCGCTCCCCGGATTCAAACCTGCAAGCTTTCGGTCAACAAGTTTAGCAGCTCAGCGATTTAATCCACTGCACCACCAGGGACTCCTAGGCTTGGTGAACCCAGCCCTATTCCAAATGACTCCCTCATACTTACAGGTTTGAGTATCCGCAAGACTTCCTTCAGGACTGCCGTGACATTGCTCACAGAGCAGAGCACCAGTGTGCAAACCACGACATCCACAGACCCATCAGACACAAGCCGCAGGTCCTCCGCTGGGGCCACCACAAAGTTCTCAAACTGGAGGTGCTGGTTCTCAGCCATGCTCTTTGCCAGGTACTGCTTGAAGTTGGGGTTGGGGTCTGTGCACGTCACTCGACAGCCAGGCGGGTAGAACTGGAAGTTGGTCCCGGTGCCAGAGCCAATTTCTAGCAGAGAGATCTGGCCTGATGAACCCGCGAAGTCCTTCAAATTACTGAACAGTTGCTGCTTCTCCTTGTGAAGCTTCACATTGTACGATCTGGCCAATCTGTTCATGACATAAGGGAAAGCCTTTTTGCACATAGGATCCCACAAGCCAAGGAAGGACAGCACATAGATGGGAAGTGCAAGGAGCTGGATGCATCTTTGGAGGAGAAAGATCAGCACCCTCATGCTAGGAAATCAATTTCAATCAGCTTCTTTGCAAAGCAGATGGAGCCCTGTGACTCTGTCGATTGAGCATTTGCTTCCTGGTGCTTCCCTGCTTTGCTTCATCCCTAAATCGTCACAATATATCCGGGTTTTTCTGGCGGTCATCTCTTAAAGGAACAGTACCTTGTTTGAAATGATAGTGTGCATATGAGAGCAGGAATAAAAGACACCTGCCTGGCAGAATGTGGATTACAATCAGGACTTACTAGGTTGGAACAGACAGTCAACACCACCAAGAGTCCCACATCAGTGCTATTTTTAAAAGAATAGAAGGAGTGGGCCAAGAAGCCCCCTGCCAAGCCCCCTGCCAAGAAGCAGGAAAATCGTATTCAAAGCACTCTGACAGATGGCCATCCAGTCTCTGTTTAAAAGCTTCCAAAGAAGGAGCCTCCACCACACACTGGGGCAGAGAGTTCCACTGCTGAACAGCTCACACAGTCAAAAAGTTCTTCCTCATGTTCATATGGAATCTCCTTTCATGTCGTTTGAAGCCATTGCTCAGCGTCCTAGTCTCCAGGAAAGCAGAAAACAAACTTGTTCCTTCTTCCCTATGACTTCCTCTCACATATTTATACATGGCTATCATGTCTCCTCTCAGCCCAGGCATATAGCTTCAGCCCCCCCCCCCCCCCGAAATTCTCATAGTGGTTTCCGAAAGGCCTTACTGGTACATTATTTAAACTGTTATGTTTATTCATATCATGATCTGATCACCATGCTCAATATATCCCATATGCATGGGGGTATTGGGGTAATGATACAAAGGTTTGCTAGGCTAGACCCTCTTTCACTCAGACTCACCCCCCTGAAACTCAGCCCCCCCCCCGAACCCCCCCTGAAAAAAATCCTCATATCTCCTCTCAGCCTTCTCTTCTTCAGGCTAAACATGCCCAGCTCCTTAAGCGCTCCTCATAGGGCTTGTTCTCCAGACCCTTGATCATTTTAGTCGCCCTCCTCTGGACACATTCCAGCTTGTCAATATCTCTCTTCAATTGTGGTGTCTGGCATATCTGCAGTGTGTACACTTAAAGTGGTTTCATATCTGTTTCCTTATCTGGGAATCGAGTGTTCAGGTGAAAGAAAGCAAGGTTGTTATTTGGGTTTTTTTATTTCACATCTAATTTTTTTCTAAATCAGAATTCCTACTATTCCTTTCAAAAGTGGAATACTGTGTCCAGTTCTGGGCACCGCAATTTAAGGGAAATGTTGACAAGTTGGAATGTGTCCAGAGAAAGGTGACTAAAATGATCAAGCGACTGGAGAACAAACCCTAGGAGGAGTGGCTTAAATTGCTGGGTATGTTTAGCCTGAAGAACAGGAGCCCCTGGTGGCGCAATGGGTTAAAGTCTTGTGCTGGCAGAACTGAAGACTGACAGGTCACATGTTCAAATCTGGGGAGAGCTCCCTCTGTCAGCACCAACTCTCCATACGGGGACATGAGAGAAGCTCATGTTAAACATCAAAACATCCGGGTGTCCCCTGGGCAACATCCCTGCAGATGGCCAATTCTCTCACGCCAGAAGTGACTTGCAGTTTCTCAAGTCGCTCCTGACATTGAAAAAAAATTAAAAGCCTGCAGAAGAGAATGCTGAGAGGAGACATGATGGAGCAGGCTTGTTTCCTCTGCCCTGGAGACTAGGATGCGGAGCAATCACTCCTTCTTTGGCTCCTTCTTTGGAGGCTTTTAAACGGAGGCTGGATGACCATCTGTGTGTGTGTGTGTGTGGGGGGGGGGTGCTTTGAATGCAAATTTCCTACTTCTTGCCAAGGGGTTGGACAGGATGGCTCATGAGGTCTCTTCCTACTTTATGATTTTATGATTCTGTGTTGAGAGAATGGTTCTGCTATTCAGTTCCCACTACAAATGAGATACTTTGTTTGTCTTCAAGCAGATTCTCAATCATCTGAAACTCATGTGATCCCAAGAACAACTCTGGCAAGAATTAAACAGAATTTAAACAGAGAATGGGAGTATTGTTCACTGACCTTCTAACAATGGCAAGGTTGTAAAGGACAACCCTGTAGCTATTTTTATGTTTTAAGAGGATACCAGAAGAGATTTATAAATCAATACACTCCAAGTGACAGTAAATAATAAAACAAATTACAGTGCCCTGAAATTATGAATTCCATTCAGCCCTTCATATCCACAGATAGAAAGATTCAACTATTTCACAGATTGAAAATAGATTTTTTTTCCCCAAAAATGAACCCCACTATTTGAGTAGGATCAACATAGTAATGTTTTAAAATAATTATCTAGTCATAGCCAGATCTAGAAGGTGTCTTGAACATCAAAACACAAATAAAAACATAGTACATCATTTCTAAAAACTGTAAACAAGGGACAATCTGTGCCAGCCCTTTATTACATCTTAATGTTAATCTAGATGCATACAAAGAATAACAGTGAGGCAGTATGGCCAGTGGTTTCAGTATTGAACTATGGCCCCTTCTCCATTGCCATATAATCCAGATTATCAAAGCAGATAACTCACATTCTCAGGATTATGTGAGTCTACACTGCCATCTGATCCAGTTCAAAGCAGATAATCTGGATTTTATATGACAGTGTAGAAGGGGCCCAGGTTTTTTTATTATTATTATTATTTTGTCGTGTCAGGAGTGACCTGAGAAACTACAAGTCACTCCTGTTGTGAGAGAATTGGCCGTCTGCAAGGACGTTGCCCAGAGGACGCCCGGATGATTTGATGTTTTTATCATCCTTGTGGGAGGCTTCTCTCATGTCCCCGCATGAGGAGCTGGAGCTGATAGAGGGAGCTCATCTGCCTCTTCCCGGATTCGAACCTGTGACCTGTCGGTCTTCCAGGTGACCCTGGGAGAGTCAAACCCTCTCACCTTTAGAGGCAAAAGCAAAGACCCTCTGAACAAACCATCCCAAGAAACTGCTGTGGCATTATCTCTCAGTATTATCAACATGCACTCTGACAGTACAAATTGGGTAAGGCGTAACTTGCATTTTAATATAATTTTTTTAATAAAAGGGGTTAAAAATAAGCCTGGACATATTGTGAATCCTACACAAATTTATAATGCATGAATTTGGGGTTAGCTAAAAACAGAAAACATATTTTGAAGGAAAAAACCCAAACTGAGATACCATTTCCTACAATTGCAATTCCAAGTTATGGTGTTTTCTTTTTCTGTTTCCAGATAAACATAGGGAAGCATTCCTAACTTTTGTGTCTTGTTTCATCAAAAAGAGTGAATTTTGAGGCAATTCTTGTTTTGTTGTTGGGTATTTTGTGTCTGTGTGGCTCTTGATGAGTCCCAGGGACAGAGAAATGCTGTCTGGAGCCGCCACAGTTGAACTTATTGTTATTTAACTTCATCAAGTCCATTTTGACTTATGGCAACCCAATAAATGAGAGACTGCCAAGACATCATATCACCTGGGGCTGGCGTGACTTCCTTGATTGAATCAATACATCCGTAATGTTGTCTTCCTCATTTCCCACTGCCTTCTACTTTACCAAGTATTATTTCTTTTCTGTTGATTCATACCTTCTCATGTGTCCAAAATACAACTCTATCTTAAGACTAGTTCAGGTTTGATTTTGTGTGGCAGCCATGTATTCCATTCTATGATATTCACAGAACTCTTCTTCAGCATCACATTGCGAAAGAGTTGATTTTCTTCCTATTGGTTTTCCACACGATCCCAATTTCACAGCTCTATATAAAAATTGGAAATTGTCAGCTCTCCACTGTTCATCTTGTTTTTAATTTGCTGATTCCAAACATGGTGCCAGTTTTCCCCTATTGATTCTTGTTTTTGAGATACAAAACACATGTCATACAACAGTTGCCAACTGCTTGCCCGCAGAAAACCATCATAATCATATTTAAGAAATTAGAGCTCATGTGGCCTATCTAATGCAATGTTCTGAAGCAGCATCCCAGATTACCCCAGAACCAGGCCTAAATACCAAGACATCAAGAATGACTTTTGGGTGGGGTGGGGGGGGGGAAGGGGGGCTGTGATTATTCCAAGTCCTTGCTAGTTTTAATTTGTTGCATGGTGCCATCTGCATATCATAAATATCCTCTCATTTTAAAGAAATTTCTATTTTCCTATTCTTGCCCCATAAATTAGCTGTGTGAGTTAGAATCATTCCAATCAAAGCATCAGTCAAAATATGTCTAACAATTCAACTAGACCTACAACTTGACTGATGTATGGCTTTAGCACAGTGGCTTAAACTGCCAGCTGCAGAAAATCTTGCCAATCAAAAGGTTGGCAAACCTGGGTTGGGGTAAGCTCCCAACCATCAGTCCAGCTACTGCTCACCTAGCAGTTCAAAACAGTAATGTGAGTAGATAAATAGGTACTGCTTTGGCAGGGAGGTAATAAAAGGTACTCATGCAGACCTGCCAGCGATTTGATCGGGAGAGCATCTAAAGACAACAAAGCTCCTCAGCATGGAAGATGCAGCGACAGCACCCCACATGGCTGGAGTTGAGCACAGCCTCCGGATGGAAAAAGATGAGAAGACTTTACCTCTGTTTATGTACTATCCTGTGTTAATTGTATAACAACACTGAATGTTTGCCGTGTAATCTGCCCTGAGTTCCGTCGGGGAGATAGGGCATAATATAAATAAAATATATTATTATTATTTGTTGGTCTTTCAATCTATGACCCAGAGCAGGGGCGGCTCAACCAGTATGCAAAGTAAGCATTCACAGTATAGTTGATTTTGCCCAGGGGCACTCTTGAGGCGCTCTTGGGGGAAAATAAACCTTGACATATGCGAGTAGTAGTTACTGGGATGTATACTTCACCTATAATCAAAGAGCATTCTGAACTCCACCAATGATGGAACTGAACCAAATATGGCACACAGAACTCCCACGACGAACAGAAAATATATATCAGTGATTTGGGGGGGGGGGGGCAAAATACTGTTTGCTTACCGTTGAAAATTACCTAGGGCTGCCTCTGACCCAGAGGAAAATATTCTGGACTGGAAGTAAATACTTAAAATAATGTCTGATTTTTGTTAGGAAAATTTTAGGAATACATGCGAATGCTGTGACCAGTAAGTATGTACACCTCTTAGATTTCATGTTTTGTTTTTCTCTGCATACACTTACGATAAAGGAAAAGCACATAGATTTATATGCCTATTTCCTTTTCCCTGTGGAGCCACTAATCGGAATGTCTGTTTCCTTCCAGGAGAAATAAAATGAACAAAGCTTTGCACAGGACACATGTTCACCTCTCAAACATATATTTGGGGAGGACAGATTGGGTAGGAGAGGAAAGCCCTGGAAACCCCCTGGTAAACCTGAATGCATCTACACTGCAGAATTAATGCAGCCTGACACCACTTTAACTGCTGTGGCTCAATGCTATGGAATCCTGGGAGTTGTAGTTTAATGAGGCACCAGTCCCTCTGTGGAAGAAAAGGCTAAAGGCCTGCAAAACGACATCTCCTATGATTCTATAGGATTTAGCTATAGTAGCTAAAGTGGTGGTGGATGTATCCCTCCTCCCACACTCCACTACCAGTTGCTGCTGCCTGGGAAAAGCTGGATCCATCCCCTGGAGATAGAAGAGGTTGCACCAGTTCTACACAATGATCTGCTTGTAGCTCCCACCAAATGCAACAAAGTTTCTCTGAAAATATTAACAAAGTTTTACTGACAGTTTGGAAACCAGTGTCTTCAGTGCAACATTTTCTGTTACATAATCTTGAGAGAACTAAATGTGCCTCTGACATGAGGCAGACCAGCGACTACCGGGCTGCTGCCAAGGGCTTTGTTTGTTCTGCCTTGGCCACATAGCTCACTATTTCTGGACGAGTGGCTGTGTCTGATTGGCCCCTTAAAAAGCACTGGAAGCAACAGATAAAAACTAACTCCTCCCCAGACCCTGCAAAGACTTTTATTTTGTCCTGGCTCCCTCTTTCTGTAGTTTTTGTCTCTTGTCAACATGGAAACTCACTTTCTTGTTGCCCTGCTTAGATTATGTGTCCACTTCTGTGCTCTCCCTTTTTATTTGCTGAATTACCTAGGAATATGGGGTCCCCTTTGCAAGAAAGCATTCCCTTATTTTATGGATTCCTTCTCTGTCCACTACAACAGCAAGATGTCTGCCAAGAAGAAGGATCTTTTCAACAACCTCTGTGACTTTGCAAGCCCTGCAGGAACACTTAAAATTTTGGAGATTGGCACAGGAACTGGGGCCAACTTCGAGTTCTACCCTACAGGATGCAAGATCATATGCACTGACCCTAACCCCAACTTCCAGAAATATCTTGACAAGAACCTGTCTAAGAATCCACATGTGAAGCTAGAGAGTTGCATCGTGGCAGCAGCCGAGGACTTGCACCAAATACCAGATGCTTCAGTGGATGTGGTGGTTTGTACTTTGGTGCTGTGCTCTGTGAAGAACACAGCCAGAGTCCTGAGAGAAGTCCAGCGAGTTCTGCGACCAGTAAGTATCTCACAGAGTGGGGAAAGCACAGCTATGGTCTAAGGTTCCAAAATAGGAATCCCAAAATAGTCATTTTCCAAAATAGGAATTCTGAGTGTGGTTTTAGTGGTTAGGGTGTTGGACTGGGACTTGGGAGATCCAAGAGGTGGTCCCTCCCTTATGATCAGCCAGCCTCGCTTTCTAAGAGTTGTATATAGCGGGGAAGAACCCAACAAGGTGCCTGGAGAAAAGGAGGGATATTAGTGGGTCTTGGCCAGCTGTGAATTTGAGGCACTAAACTAAGTCCTATCTTTTGTACTTAGCTGCTTATCACTTTTCTTTTAAACTTTTCAACTTTACAGAAATGATGAGTGCTGAATTCCCCTTGCTCCCACTTTTCTTTCTAAAAGCAATAATAGCTGGGAATGACCCTTTAAGAGCTCTCTTAGATGGGCAAACATACCTATTACAGTGCAATCCTTTTTATGCCTATGGTGAAAGAAGCTCAACTGAGTTTAATAGGAAATACTACTCACAGAATTGGAAGAGACCTCAAGGGCCATTCAGTCCAACCCCATTCTGTCATACAGGGGTATACAGTCAAAGCACCCCTGACAGATGGCCACCCAGCCTCTACTTAAAGACCCCCAAACAATGAGGCTCCACTGGACTCCAAGGCAGCCTATCCCACTGCCAAGCAGCTCTTACCATCAGTAAGGTTTAGGTGGCATCTCTTTTCATGCACTTAGCACCTCTACACTAAGAACATGTTTAAGCTTCTTTCCTTCTGTGACTGTGTGTGACATAAACACTTAACTTTTAAATGTGCTTATACCATGTTTTGATATGACTAAGATGCACCTCGTTTCCAATTTGGTGTCCCTTTTATAGGGATTATTGGCACGATATGTTGGGGTTTTGCCTTTGCCTCTGAGGCAGAGAGAGTGTGTCTTACCCTTGTTCACCCATGTTCAAACAGGGATTTGAATTCTGGTCTCCAGATTCATAGTATATCACTTAAAACCACTGCACGACATTGGCTCTCTTGTAATGAATACTTTGCTATAGGTCTCCATTTCTGGGCAGACCTCATTTTTGGTTCCTATAACACAATTTTTTACTTAGAGAGTTGGTCTTCCGCATTCATGGGTACATGTGTTGGGCAATGTCTTTTTAAAATACTGTTCACCCTTCCTATCTATGGATGTCACATCCATGGATTCAACTATCCACTGCTTGAAAATACTGGTAGGGGGAAACATTGGTATTCCCATTTTATATAGGGAGCATCTTTAATATGCCACTATATATAATGAGACTGGAGCACCTTTGGATTTTGGAATCCACAAGATCTCTTGAACCAATAGATGACATGGACCCACTCTTTAAAACCTTTTTTCTTCTTTGTGGAAGTGTGAGTCACCAAAACGAATTCCTTGAGGTTTTTCATTAACTCATTGTGAAACTGGGGGGGGGGGGGGGGGGGGGGGGGGTAGTGGTGATGATCCTGGCAATGTTGCAACACTATACAAGTTGTCCCTCTTTTCTGTTTCCTGAAAACAACCTTTGAAAAGTTTAACTGCAGCCAATCTCATTCACTGTTGCTATTCCCTTTCCTATTCTGCAGAGAAATTGTCAATTCTTTTTCAAAATCCTGTGAATTTTACTGTAAAGCCAGAAAGGCAATGATTAAGAGGCTAATGGGGTTAGGTGGTCCAGAAACAAAGCTGGTTGGTTGCATTTGGGTTTACCTGACTGTGCAAATTAATTGGCAGCCAATGAAAATCCTCTGAGAAAAAAGGTGAGCTCCTTCAGCCCTCCTACCCAACAAGTAAATATTAAACCAGTTGAAAGCCCCTGTTTTCCATAGTGTGTTCTGCCACATTGTCCAAATATTTCTGATAGCAGAAGATAGTCATAGATGCATTCTGATGTTTCTTGAAAAAGTGACTCACATGTAGTTTTGTAATGAAAATACTTATCAATATGGATTATTATTATTATTATTATTATTATTATTATTCCTTCCTATAAAGTGGCCTAAAAATGTTATGCCAAAACATAATGATACCTGTCCTGTTTTGTAAGAATCTACTGGACATTTAGAGCCAAATTTTAGATATTAAGCAGTTGAAGGAATGTTTCATTGAACAAACTGTTCCAATAAATGGCCACTTAACTGGATTTAGTTAAGTATTCCCTTCAGTGATGTTACCGTCAAAGGGTTTTTAATGGGTCTTATTTTAGTTGTGACTTAAGTCATGCCAACTTCAATAAGCCTCCTCTAATTAGGAGTAACACTGAGTTTATCTCTCTGTTATTAATAACTAGCTTTACCTGGCCATGCATTACTGTGGCCCAGTCCAGTTAAATGGAAAAGAAAGAAAAGAAAATGGCTGGTTTCTAATATATGTAATTTTATAATTCTTGTGGGTATACAATATTTTATGTTGTTCCATTGTCTGTGAAGTCATAGTAATAATGGTGCAAATAATAAACAATACTGACCTATACAGTCTATATAATAAGAATACTAGTGTATATAACAATGATAATAATAGCAGTGATACTGGTCTATATAATAATGATCAGTGTGTTTTGGGAAAACCCTTTCCTTTCCTCCTATTTATCTCTCCCTTCCTACCATTCAATCCTTCCTTCCTTCCTTCTGAACCATCCAGTCTTCCTGGAGGGATGGGCGTGAGGCTATGGAAGCCCACGGCTTGGGCTGGGCCTACCTCCTTGCCTGCCTCCTTCCCCCCGCCCTCCCCTGGGCCCATGCCTTGGCCCCACCTGGATTTCCCTACCTTCCCCACCAGCATGTCCTCGCTTCTCCTTCCACCTGGATGTTCTTCTGGCAACAAATCCTTGATGCAGCTTGGGATGTTTTCTTTGATGGATGCTGTTTAACCAGAGAAACCGGAAAGGAGTTGGAAAAAGCTGGGTTTTTCCTGCTCTTTTTCTCCTGGTTTTGCTCAGGAGGGAGGCAGGCAGGCAGGTTCGGTGGGGGGAGACCAGGTCATGGAACCCTAATGGCGGCTCTGACCCTGATGGGATCACTTCACGATGTGTTGCTTGGACATCCAGCAGATGGTGCTGTTTTTGATGCCAAGTATGATTTTACCTGTCACAGGTTTGACATCTGTATAATAGTAGGTATGTGAATACATAAAAACATTCACCTGTTCAACTGCTATGTTGTGTCCAAATTTTGAAGCAATCAATGAAGTGTTTTGGGAGATTTGGGGTCATTCACAAACGGACATTTACATTTTTATTTATATAGATCAGTAGTAACCACTGGCATTTACGTTTTCCTTGGTGGCCATCCCTCATTATAATTTTCTTATATTTTTGTTTCCTGCAAAGGAATCTCCTGTATTGTTAAATGTTCATAAGAAGAAATTGTCATCAGTTTAGGACCTTTCTTTAAACAACCAAATATTCTCCAGCAATGACAGAAGAGAGAATCTGTCTTTAGCAATTGCTGATGTAATCTCGGGTCCTTCCAGGGTGCTGTAGCCCCCAATTGGCCCAATGAAACAATGTGGAGTTGAAGGCAGGAATAGGAATCGATTTGTTCAGCACAGGCCAGCGTGAACACTAGGAGACCGTAATTCCCTAATCTGGCATGGCTTCCATGTACAAGCATGGGCACTAAATAGAGATTTACAGACATTTGGAAACATGAGATGATTGGTGCAGTGACAGGGTCTGCTATCTTATTGGTTCAAAAGTTCATGCATTTACAGTTGGTGGTTTGTGCAAATTAGGATCCACAATCCCACTGCTTTAAAGGTGCACTCATTTATAGTTTGTGATTTGTGCATAGTATGAAATTGTTGGAAATGACAACCTTCTTCAAGGCTTCTCTAATAATGTTTATGATCCTGTTGCTTACTGTTTCCTGTATGTATGTTCTGGTATTCAGCTTCCTTTACTGTATGGTTTCTGAGAAGTTATAAAAAGAGCTGTGTGTTAATTATATCCTGACTCTTTTTATTACTTTTGTGAGTTGGATTTTACATCTTTTTCTTTTGTTGTGCTATATAGGGGTCTGGAGAACAAGTCCTATGAGGAGCGGCTTAAAGAGCTGGGCATGTTTAGCCTGCAGAAGAGAAGGCTGAGGGGAGACATAATGTCAATGTATAAATATGTGAGAGGGAGTCATAGGGAGGAGGGAGCAAGCTTGTTTTCTGCTGTCCTGGAGACTAGGACATGGAATAATGGCTTCAAACTACAGGAAAGGAGATTCTAGCTGAACATTAGGAAGAACTTATTAACTGTGAGAGCTGTTCAGCAGTGGAACTCTCTGCACGGGGTGCGGTGGAGGCTCCTTCTTTGGAGGTTTTTAAACAGAGGGTGGATGGCCATCTGTCTAAGGTGCTTTGAATGTGATTTTCCTGTTTCGTGGCAGGGGATTGGAGTGGATGGCCCACAAGGTCTCTTCCAACTCTAGGTAAAGGTAAAGTCCAGTCGTGTCCAACTCTGGGGTGTGGTGCTCATCTCAATTTCTAAGCTGAAGAGCCGGCATTGTCCATAGACACCTCCAAGATCATGTGACCAGCATGACTGCATGGAGTGCTGATGCCTTCCTGCCACAGCGGTACCTATTAATCTATTCACATTTGCATGTTTTCAAACTGCTAGGCTGCTAGAAGCTGGGGCTGACAGCAGAAGCTCACGCTGCTCCACAGATTCGATCCTGCAACCTTTCGGTCAACAAGCTCAGCGGTTTAACCCACTGCACCACCGGGGGCTCCCAACTCTATGTCTCTATAATTTTATGATATAAGATTAGCAGCAGTGTGAAGAACTGACATGCAGCAATTGCAATAATAGCCTTATTTTAACAAAATAATTTCTAAGTAAGCTTATCCAAAGAACATAAAAAAGGAACATGCATGTTATTCTGTTCTTTTTTTTCCAGGGAGGTGCTTTCTACTTCATGGAGCATGTCCTCGCTTCTCCTTCCACCTGGATGTTCTTCTGGCAGCAAATCCTTGATGCAGCTTGGGATGTTTTCTTTGATGGATGCTGTTTAACCAGAGAAACCGGAAAGGAGTTGGAAAAAGCTGGGTTTTCAGAGCTGAAGCTACGCTATATCGACGCCCCTTTAAATTGGAATCCGGCTAAACCACATATTATAGGCTATGCTGTAAAGTGATTATAAAATCTGTTAGGTGAGTTCAAATAGTAAACAAGCAGAATCAGATACTTGACAATTCACTTGTACTTGGCACATATCATGTTTGCAAAACTTAGGATTGAGATGAAATTCTTTCTCAAGCCTTTATTAAAATCGAGACTCTCATATCTATCCATCTATCTATCTATCTATCTATCTATCTATCTATCTATCTATCTATCTATCTGCTGGAAAAGAGTATTTATTACTGGATACTCTAATGCCATTCCCTCATTCATGAAACTGCTAGTACTACATTATTTAATTATGAAATGGAATATGATAGTGATGGCCATTGTCAGAAGGCAAACACAAAGTTCACAAACCGTTCATGTCTTGTGATGCTGAAGCTTAAGCGGGATAACTTTGTTTTTCTGGCAATGTGTTCCTGTTGACTTTTGCTCTTTTGCTGTGTTTCCATCAACTGGGGTCCAAGACGAAGAAAAAAGAGAGAAAGGCAATGTGTATGTATCTGCAGGAGGGAACACTGTGCTAATTGTTGGGAAGGGGAGTTAATTGGCATAGAGTAACTTTTAATTGTGCTTATATGCAACATACATACTAATTCTTTTTCATGTAGTTCGATTAAACTGTAAACCTTTTTGATAAATAAAACGTACTTTGAGGCTTTTATTACGTGTTTTAATTCTTATACTTCATGTTCTCGGTGTTCTTTTATCTTATCTTATGGTGAATTGTCCTGCTGATTTTATGCTAGTTATATGTTGTTGATTGAGTTTTGGTTTATATATGTAAGGCATTGAATTCTGCTGTTATTTTTAGGGAAACCACTTTGAGTCCCCCATCCGTCCCCTCCAGGGTGGGAAAAGCATATAAATACTGTAAATAAACAAATATGCTATCATAAAAATAAAGTGAAGATTTAGTTTTTGAGTCTTGCAGTTATTAAATGGATATGTTACATGTCTTTGTGATTGTAGGCCCATTTGGGACATGTATTTTGCCAACCTAGAAATGCCCTTGATTTGTGGGGACTGACCTACCTGTGTGGGAGTTGTAGTTCACCCTGCATCCAGAGAGCTCTCTGATTCTCACCAATGGACCACACTTAGCACTCAGAACCCCCATGACCAACAGAACATACTGGAAGGGTTTGGGAGGGTGGATGGGAACTGACCCACCCGCATGGGAGTTGTAGTTCACCCTGCATCCAGAGGGACTCTGATTCTTACCAATGGACCACACTTAGCATACAGAACCCCCATGACCAACAGAACATAGTGGAGGGGTTTGTGGGGGACGGAACAACTGACCCACCCGCATGGGAGTTATAGTTCACCCTGCATCCAGAAAGCATTTTGAAGCCCACCAATGACAGATCTGCACCAAACTTGGCACACAGACCCAACATGGCCAACTGTGCATACAGGCGGGGTTTGGGGAGTGATTGACCTTCGCATATGGGAATTGTAGTTCCCTCGCACCTACTGAACCCGAGCGATGTTGCATTAAACCTAGAGCACAAACAATGCCATTTTCAAATAACCCTGGCCTCGCCAGGTCCATCGCCTGGCTAATATTAATATGTTCCTAGTTTGCATTATTTCCTGTTTAATTGTGTAGTCCTCACTTTAAAAGAAGTTGTGCTTCAGAAACTTTGTTCCTGTGACCACAAACGACGATATGTTAAATTGGTGGAGACTCTACAAGGGTTAAGGTAAAGGTAGTCCCCTGACATTAAGTCCAGTCATGTCTGACTCTGGAGTGTGGTGCTCATCTCCATTTCTAAGCCGAAGAGCCAGTGTTGTCCGTAGACACCTCCAAGGTCACGTGGCCGGCATGACTGCATGGAGCGCCGTTACCTTCCCGCCGGAGCGGTACCTATTGATCTACTCACATTTGCATGTTTTCTACAAGGGTTAGGGTTGAATAATTGAGACATTAGAATCCCTCCTGCAAAGACAAAGTAAAAACAAACCTTTCCATGAGTTTATGATAGAACCAATGAGTAAATTATTTATAACCTAGGAACAAAAAAAAATCATAATCCAGGAGAGGAGGTGATTCTTTTCAGAAATCTCCTCATTATGCATATGCAAATCTCTCGAAATCCAGATCCCTTCTTGTTCCAAGGCAGTTGGGAAATCATTGGTCCTTGGGGATTGCTGGCAGCTTGCGGAACCGGCGAGTCACGTGACTGTGTGACGTCACTCACGACGAAGCCAGGGAAGAAAGTCCGGGCAGCTGCCATTTCCGTTTTCCCTCTGGGCTGAGGATGGGGCGAGGCCTTCTCCCGGCGCTCTTGGTGCTGCTGCTGCTGCTGCTGCTGCCCGTGCTGCTGAGGGGAGAGGAGGCGTCGCCCAGGAGCAGCCCGCCCTTGCAGTCCCCCGTTGGGGGTGAGCCGTGGTTTGCCTTCCCTTCCCGTTGCCTAGCGATGGCTCGCCGAGGGAGGGAGTCGTTTGATCTTGAGGCCAAGCGAGGCACGCGCAAGGCCCCGTGGCGCTACGCTGTTAGGGCGTTGTGGTTGGGCTTTTGGTTACCATGGCAACGTCCTGGGGCATGCTGGGAGTTGTAGTTCGGGGAGGCTAACGTCAGACGGCTGCAGGACAAGACTAGCGCTTAGAGGGCTGGTAGGCCGCATTCTTTGGGGGCACTCGGTGTGGATTACAGCACTTGGCCCTAAGGCAGTGTTTCTCAACCTTCCGAATGCCCTTAATACAGTTCCTCATGTTGTGGTGACCCCCAACCACAAAATTATTTTCGTTGCTATTACATAACTGTAATTTTGCTACTGTTATTATGAATGATAAATAGAGGGAGAAAACGTGGAGGCCGTGACAGACTTTGTATTTCTAGGTGCAAAGATTACTGCAGACGCAGACCGCAGCCAGGAAATCCAAAGACACTTACTTCTTGGGAGGAGAGCAATGACCAATCTTGATAAAATAGTGAAGAGCAGAGACATCACACTGGCAACAAAGATCTGCATAGTCAAAGCACCTACGGATGTGAGAGCTGGACCATAAGGAAGGCTGAGTGAAGGAAGGTAGATGCTTTTGAACTGTGGTGCTGGAGGAAAGTGCTGAGAGTGCCTTGGACCGCCAGAAGATCCAACCAGTCCATCCTCCAGGAAATAAAGCCCGACTGCTCATTGGAGGGAAAGATAGCAGAGGCCAAGATGAAGTATTTTGGCCACATCATGAGAAGGAAACCTTAGGGAAGACAATGATGCTGGGGAAAATGGAAGGAAAAGAGAAGAGGGGCCGAGCAAGGGCAATATGGTTGGATCTCATCCTTGAAGTGACTGGATTGACCTTGAAGGAGCTGGGGTGGTGACGGCTGACATGGAGCTCTGGCGTGGGCTGGTCCATGAGGTCACAAAGAGTCGGAAACGACTCAACGAATGAACAAAAACAACAAATGAATCGTAATGTAAATATCTGATATACAGGATGTATTTTCATTCACTGGACCAAATTTGGCACAAATACTCAATAAATGTGAACGCTGGCGAAGTTTGGGGGAAATAGACTTGACATTTGGGAGTTGTAGTTGCTGGGATTTATAGTTCACCTACAATCAAAGAGCATTCTGAATTCCACCAACGATGGAATTGAACCAAACTTAGTACACAGAACTCCCATGACCAACAAAAAATACTGGATGGGTTTGGTGGGCATTGAGTTTGAATTTTGGAGTTGTAGTTCACCTACATCCAGAGAGCACTGTGGACTCAAACAATGGTGGATCTGGACCAAACACGGCACAAATACTCAATATGCCCAAATGTGAACAGTGGTGGAGTTTGGGGAAAATAGAACTTGGCATTTGGGAGTGGTAGTTGCTGGGATTTATAGTTCACCTATGATCAAAGAGCATTCTGAATTCCACCAACAATGAAATTGCACCAAACTTGGCACACTACCTAAATGGACAACATTGAATGCTGGGGGGGGGGGGGGCTGTTTTTGAATTCTGGGAGTTGTAGTTCACCAACACCAAAAAGGAAGTGAAGGACCGATGGAGAGATCTTCAGCCTTCTCTGCCAAAAAGGTTCCAAAGACTATCAAAAATATGTGTTTTCTGATGGTCTTTGGCAACCCCTCTAAAAAACCCCTTGCAACCGACCCCTCCAGGGGTTCCGACCCCCAGGTTGAGAAACACTGCCCTAGGGTTTCAACATGGTGGAAGCCAAGATCCCTACTAACCACGACAAATGCTGCCTCTGTGATGTGGCCTCAAGTGGGTTTCCATGTCATTTCTTCCCACTTTTTCCCATTGAAAAGTCAACATGGAGGTTGACCCTTCAGGTCAGCAGCAGCTGCACTTTCAATACAGGCAGTACCCATCTTACGAACAAGATAGGTTCTTTAGGTTTGTTCTTAAGTTGAATTTGTATGTAAGTCGGAACAGGTACTTTTAAGAAGTGTGACTCCAGGCAACTATTATTATTATATAGAGACGTCCAGCTCTGTCACTCCTTTCCACCTACTACTAAGGGGGCTGTCCAGGTCCTGAACCGGTGCTTGGCCGCTGTGTCGGACTGGATGAGGGTGAACAAATTGAAACTCAATCCAGACAAGACAGAGGTACTCCTGGTCAGTCGAAAGGCCGAACAGGGTATAGGGTTACAGCCTGTGTTGGACGGGGTCGCACTCCCCCTGAAGACGCAGGTTCGCAGCTTGGGTGTGACTCTGGATTCTTCGCTAAGCTTGGAACCCCAAGTCTCGGCGGTTTCCAGAGGAGCATTTGCACAGCTTCGGCTCGTGCGCCAGCTGCGCCCGTATCTTGGGAGGTCGGACTTGGCTACGGTAGTCCACGCTCTTGTCACATCCCGTATAGACTACTGCAACGCGCTCTACGTGGGGTTGCCCTTGAAGACTGCCCGGAAGCTTCAGATGGTCCAGCGCTCGGCAGCCAGGTTGCTAACGGGAGCGGCTCTCAGGGAGCACACCACCCCCCTGCTGAACCAGCTCCACTGGCTGCCAATTCGCTACCGGGCACAATTTAAGGTGCTGGCTTTAGCCTATAAAGCCCTACACGGTTCCGGCCCCACTTACCTCTCCGAACGCATCTCCTCCTACGAACCGGGAAGAGCGTTAAGATCTTCCGGGGAGGCCCTGCTCTCGGTTCCGCCGGCGTCACAAGTGCGGCTGGCGGGCACGAGAGACAGGGCCTTCTCGGTGGTGGCCCCTCGGCTATGGAATGCGTTACCGGTGGACATCAGGCAGGCCCCTTCGTTACTGGTGTTTCGGAGGAGGGTGAAGACGTGGCTCTACGAGCAGGCTTTCGGCAACTAACTCAATAATGACGGCATCGGACAAGGAATGGAAAAAGGATCTTGAGATCGGAATCTGATTCTAAGTGTGGCGTTGATGATTATGTGTTTGTCTGTATTGTGTGTCTCATACATTGTTTAGTGTTGCTTTTTATTGTAAACCGCATTGAGTCGCCGCTTCAGGCTGATATATGCGGTATACAAATAGAGTAAATAATAAATAATAATAATAATAAATAATAATTATTATAGATTTAATAATTGTAATTTTATTTTTTACCCTCACACCTTGAGGTAAGTTACAAAACAATTAAAACACATGAACAGAGCAAAAACACCAGAAATACATACACCAAAATGTACTTCCATAAAAGTTACATACCAAAACATATCTCTGTGAAATACATATTAAAACAGAGATTAAACAAAGGACAGGTTGCAGGTTCGAATCTGGGGAGAGCATGGATGAGCTCCCTCTATCAGCTCCAGATCCTCATGTGGGGACATGAGGGAAGCCTCCCATAAGGATGGTAAAGCATCAAACATCCGGGCATCCCCTGGGCGACCTCCTTGCAGACAGCCAATTCTCTCGCACCAGAAGTGACTTGCAGTTTCTCAAGCTACTCCTGACACCGGGGGGGGGGGGGGGGGGGGGGGGAGGAGGATATGCATTAAATTCATCTTTATGTTTAAAGATTGTCTGGATAGGCATGCTGTAAGAGAGAGGTCTTAAGTGTTATCTTAAATTCCGAGAGTGGATTTAGCTGTCGGAGCTGTACTGGCAGGCCATTCCACAGCCTTGGGGCAGCTGATGAAAAGGTCCTCTGGGCGGTGGTTGCCAGTCGGGTTCTGGGTGGTTGGAGCAGATGCCCCCAGGAGACCGAAGTGTGTGGGGCGGATTGTATGGGGAAAAGGCAATCCTTTAAGTAATCTGGACCCAAACCATGTATGGCTTTAAAGGTCAAAACCAACACCTTGTACTTTGCCCGGAAACTAATTGGCAGCCAGTGGAGTGACTTTAGGATTGGTGTAATATACTCGCTCCTAGATGTTCCTGTAACCAATCTGGCAACCATATTTAGAACAAGTTGGAGTCTCTGAACTTGGTACCTGTTCAGAAGATTTTTCCTCACTTTCTCTCCCTATGAAATTTGGATTTTGGAATTTGGCTTGTTACGGAAACAAGGATTGGTAATAAAGCTTTAATTAAGATACGCTTTCCGCATGAAAACTTCCAGATATGAATTTCCCTTCCGAGGGGCAAATTCCTCTCACTTCCTGTTGTCTCAGCCCCGTACTTAACTATGAATAATTTGTGTCAGATGTTTGTAACTTGGGTACTGCCTGCACACCATTAAAGAGTTGTTTTTAAAGGATTGCCATGTTAATTCCTGACTCAGAAAGGCCAGTAAATACTTTTTGTAGTTTTTTAAAACAGCAGCTGGTGGTTCTGAATTTCAGTTCAACATTCAGCCTTGTTTTGTCTCTGGAACAAGATGACTTAGAATCAGATCATCTTAAAGTGACTGCGCTGCTTCAAATATGTTTGAATGTTAGCACTTTTATGGATTACTTACAAAGACTGCATCTCATCGGTGTCACTCTTTTGATTTCTAGCATGTGGAAGAAGGCCTGCTGTTAGTGAGTTAGCAACCGGAAGTCGCATAATAGGTGGACGTGATGCCCCACGTGGGGCATGGCCATGGCAAGTTAGTCTTCAGATTTACCACATTCATGTAGGATATCACCATGTTTGTGGTGGATCTTTAATAAGTCACAACTTGGTCCTGACAGCAGCACATTGCATTAGAAAGAATAGGTTTGTATCACTTTTAAATCTTCCTATCACTCTTAAATCCGAGGCACATGTTTTCATTCAAAGACTTAATTTTGAAATATGCACCTGTGTACTTAGCATGTAACACCTTCTACCCATGCAGGTCCCATTTCCCCCTCACCCTTTCATTTATCCTGCAGACACATAGCAGATTGCACAAATTCAGTTCTATTGCCTGAAAACTATGTTGTGGAATTTGAACAGCTGTTCTTGAATTTCTATACCTGGCCAAGTATGAATATTGCTATTAAATCATACCGTGAAATAATAAATTGTATTTCACTACAATTTTCATGACAATCAACTTTAGTCACAAGAAGAATGATTAGAAAGTTTTCAAGAGCAGTTGTTCTCTGATTACACTACTTAACATCAATCAAAGGATAAGTCAGGCATGGGCCAACATTGGCCTTCCAGGTGTTTTGCACTTTAGCTCCCAGAAATCCCAGCCACCTTTCCGGGTGATAGGAATTGTAAGAGTTAAAGGCCAAAACACCTGGAAGGGCTAAGGTTGCCCATACCTGGGATTAGTAGTGTAATCAGAGAACAGTTGCTTTCCATTGCTGTAAATCAAGCTCCTCCAAGATGAGTAAAACTGAAGGAAGATGAGAGGTAGTGGAGGAAGTAGGTGTTCAGAGAAATTTGAGAAAGACTCTTGGGATACTAAAGAGATAAAAGTGATCAAAGATAGAGAGATGGCAACAGAAGTAGTACAGAAACAAATATCTGGAAGAGAGTAGTATTAAGGGCTGTAAGAAGGGTTAAGGGACACAAGTTATGATGGGAGTATAGGAAGCAATGAGATCCAAGGACAAGGAAAATGATATAAAGAAACAACCATATCATCTTGACTTCTATTTATATTGCTCATCATCATATTTGTGTTCTTTATAAATTCTTTTGTTGGGCTTCTTGCAAGGCTTAAATAATGTCAGTAGCATTGTGTTATGTACGAGTAAACTGTTTAAACCTGGGGTTCTGTTCATTAGAATTTTGGCATACAGTAACTCAGAATGTGCTTTATGATCAGTCTGTAACTGTACAAGAATATGTGCTGTTGAGTCCTTATATTAGAGAATATGGTGTTTTACTTATTGTAGCAGGTTACCATATTCCTACAAAACAGTCCAGCACTTTCAGACAAATTGATATTTTCCGACTTCAGAGAAACTAAGACCCTTTCTACACTCCCATATAATCCAGATTGTCAAAGCACATAATCCACATTATCATATTTGAAATGGATTATGTAAATCTAAACTGCCATATAATTCAAATCAGATAATCTGGGTTTTATATGGCAGTGTAGAAGGGACTTTATGGAAGACTGAAGTTAAGATTGTGAAACTATACCCAATCAGTTACGTTTATGTATTTGAGTCTCTATAAAAAGAAAGTAAGAAAAATTGCATCTGA